TCCCGTCCCGTCCCGTCCCCTAGCGCCCGTCGCACCCGTCCCGTCCCGTCCCATAGCGCCTGGCGCGCCCGTCCCATCCCGTCCCCTCGCGCCCGTCGCGCCTCCCTGCCCGTCACGTCGCGCCCTGCCCGTCCCATCGCGTCGCGCCCTGCCCGTCCCATCGCGTCGCGCCCTGCCCGTCCCGTCGTGCCTATCCTGCCCATCCCGTCGCGCCCACCTGTCCGTCGCGTCGCGCCCTACCCGTCCCGTCGCATCACGCCTTGCCGCCGCGTCGCGCCCTAGCCTGCGCGCCCTACCCTGTCGCGCCTTGCGCTCTACCCGTCGCGCCTGTGCCGTCCTGCCTTGTGTACTCCTAGCGCCCTGCCTGTCGCACCCTGCTCAGGCCTTTTAGGTGGCTGGTAGCCGTAGCTCCCACCCCTCCGCATCAGCTATGGTGGCGCCTAGGATCCTGCGTTTTGATGCCGAGGGTAGGCCACTGGAGTTCTCTGTCTGGCTTCTCCGTGCGCAGCGCCTGCTAGAGAGTCAGTGCTAGGCAGACGAGTCCCACTGGGCGCTCGCCTCCGGTGATCTTCTTGCGCCCTCTGATCCGTAACCTCTAGGCGCTGACCCCCACTGCGGACAAGGAGCGTTTTGCACATCAGCGAGCTGCTCTAACAGCCTGGAAGTCGCGCGACGCCGCGGCCTGCACCGCCCTTAGCAGCCTTCTCCCTGAGTCTGAGGAGACCTACTTCACCCAGGTTCGCACTGCTAGTGAGTTCCTGACTGCGATCAAGGCCCGCTACTCCACTACCACCACTGTCTCTCTTGGTCGCATGTTCCTCCCGTTCCTGTTTCCTGACCTCGCCTCGTTTGAGCGTTCAGCTGACTTGATCGCTCACCTGCATTCGCTGGATTCTAGCTACCGCGCTGCCTGCACTGACGCACAGCTTGCACTGCTCCCTCCCCCCATGGCGATTACTATTTATTTTATTGTCACTAGCCTCCCTGACCGCCTTGCCACAGTTCGCGACACGCTTCTTTTAAAGCACCCAAGCGAGCTCACTATCGAGGTCCTTGAGTCTGCGCTCAAGGACGTCGAGAGCAACCTCCGCTCCGTAGCCTCCGCCTCTGGTGCTGTGCCCCTTCAACCGTTCCACGGGTCCGCTGTCCCACAGCTGCCCACCTTTACTGCCTCCCTCGCCGCTACCACTACTGACGAGACCGCGACTGCTGTCATAACTTCTACGCGGCCTAGAGTTAGGAGTGGCAGGACAGGCGGCCAGGGTGCGGCCAACAGCGGAGGCACCGGAGGTGGCGTGGTGAGTGGCGGTAGCGGGAGTATACTTGTTGGTGGAGCGCCTCGTGCAGTTTCCAGTGGCTCCCCTGCTGCAGCTGGTGGAGGTGACACTCGAGTTCGTCGGGCGCCTGTAGGGTTGCCAGCTGCAGGTGCTGGAGTGGCGGCTTGGTACCTCACACACTAGCTGCAGCAGCAGCAGTAGCAGCAACAGCCACTCCTCTCGCAGCAGCCACAGCAGCAGCAGAGGCAGCAGGTTCAGAGGCAGGGGTCAGGACCGCGTCGGCTTTCGCGTGGTGACGCCCACTTGCCCTGCCCCTACCTCATCCAGGCAGGTACTCGCAGCGGCCTCCGCTATGACCGCCATCACCCACCGGGTCAGTGCTTTGCTCAGCTCACTGACACGCTTCGCGAGGCCTACAACGCAGACGACCCTGTCCCTGAGTGGCTTCCCCTTGTTCTCTCGCACGGTCCCGCACTGTGGGACATGTCCACTTCTCAGTCACTTGAACTCCTAGGAAATGCTATGTATGCTATTGTTGACTCTAGTGCTTCAGACTCATTTTGCTCGCGTGTTTTTAGCTTAGGTGCTAGTGTTGATCCTGTGCCAGTTGCTAGTGTAGGTACTTGCTTAGGTACTAGTCCAGGTACTACTCCGGCGAACGCTTCGCTGTCTTTCATCCTTACGCCGCTTCCTGCGCCAGTCTCCATAGTACTGGCTGATCCCACTTCGGGACCAGTCATTGCTCACCACTCTACTACGCTTTCGTGCCCAGCTGTTCCCTCGGGTTCTCTAACGGGCTTCCACGTCCCCTCGTTCTCTAGGAACTTGGTGGGCATGCGGCCGCTCGTGGGTCAGCATGTTGGTGTTTGGTTTGAGCCTTATGAGGCCTCTTCGACCTGTGTGGATGGTGACACGTACGCCCCCCTGACCACCTTTCGCCAGGAGCCGGGTTCTGGTCTCTACACGCTTCATACTGGCCCCTGAGGGAGGCAGCAGCAGCTGCCTCCGACCCCTGTCACTACCCCCTGTCAGGTCCCAGCGTCCCACCAGGTTGTTGCGCCCCACCAGGTAGCTGTGTCTGGTCAGGTTGCTGCTTCTTGCTCGTGTCGGTCGCTTGCCCACCCCACCGTTCTGTGGCACCACCGTCTTGGTCACCCGACCCTTCCTCGCCTTCGCACTACTTCTAGTCAGCGTCTTGTCTTAGGTCTCCCGCGAGTCTTTCCGTCGTTGACGCCTTCACCTGCACCACCTTGCGGCCCTTGTGTCGAGGGTCGGCTGCGCGCCACCCCTCACTCCTCCTCCCTTCGTCCGGCCACCGAGCCCTTCGAAGCCGATTAGTCTCCTCTTAGCATTGTGCCTCCATTTCAGGAAGCGGAGAGAGGCAGTGTGAGGGAGTGTGTGCGCCCGGGAGTAAGCACGCAAGAGCACTTGTGCCTATCGCGCTGGCGCCTAGCGCACTGGCGCCTAGCGCGCTGGCGCCTAGCGCGCTGGCGCCTAGCGCGCTGGCGCCTAGCGCGCTGGCGCCTAGCGCGCCGTCGCTTAGCGCGCTGGTGCCTAGCGCGTAGCGCGCTGGCACCTAGCGCGTAGCGCGCTGGCGCCTAGTGCGCTGGCGCCTAGCGCACTGGCGCGCGCTGGCGCCTAATCCACTAGTGCTTAGAGTGCTGGCGCCTAGCACGCTGGTGCCTAACTCGCTGGCGCCAAACGCGCAGGCGCCTAATCTATAGGTGCCTAAAGCGCTGGAGCCTATCTCGCTGGCGCGTAACGCGCTGGCGCCTATCCCGCTGGCTGGCGCCTATCGCGCTGGCACCTATCGCGCTGGCTGATGCCTATCGCGCTGGCGCCTAACGCGCAGGCGCCTAACCTACACGCGCCTAGTGCGCTGGCGCGTAATACTTTGGTGCCTATCGCGCTGGCGCCTAGCGTGCAGGCGCCTAACTCTTTCTTCCACTCGCATCATCCCCGTAGCTCCCACACTCTATCTACTTAGGTTTAGAAGGACTTTCGAGTGTTGATGGCATGGCTGTAGTTGCAGAATATTTTCAAGACATCTTACACGTCCTCACAGTTCTAATTACTCACAGTGGACTCGTGACACTGAAGAGACTCAGCCCCATCATCTCAGAGTAGTAGTGCTACCAGCTCGGATGTGCTTTGTGATTGTACATACCAATTCAAACGATTCTTTTGCTGACGATGTCTTGCCTACGACCCCCCTCTTCCCCAACCACCCCCACTTTCCTCCTTTCTGTCTGTGCGCTTTTGAGTCGTTTGTGTGCTCCTTCCCGCTGCTAAGTAATAGGTGACATCCAACTTTGTTACATTATGGCTCAAGTACATTTTTTCAAGAAGTCCGGACTTCAAGTTTTGAATTCTACCAACGCCCGTGATCGGTTAAGGGGGAAAAAATGGTCACCTTCGTCAAAACCAGGGCCAAACTTCGAGCAGCTCATGACTCGGGCGTTGTTCTGCAGGCGTCTTTTGACAAGAAACCGGGTCCGCTGAATCTTCGTTGATAAGGTCCTTTCAGCTTATCCAGGTTTGGTGATAAGGGAGGTCTTGCCAAACCTGTTTGCGCCAATTAAAACGCTTCAGCCTGCAGAACACCACTTTTGGTTTGCAAAAGTTCAGGACGTGGTGCGGGACGCCTTGGCACGCCTCGATGTTCCGCGGTGCATCGGGTTTTGAAGCTTCCACGCATGCGGGAATCCGGTGCATCGCCCGGGGCGTGCCGGGACGAGGCGATGCACCGACGCCCCAACACACTCTGAAAGCTTGCGAGCTCTCGGGATTTTGGTTACTTGCCGAAATTGACGCGCGAGGAACTTGATGAAAGTGTATTTTGATTGCGACATTTTCTTGGAGGATCAACGACAAGTTTTTCTTTTGCGAGCGGGTTTGCATACCTCTTGCCTTCGCCCATTGCTTGGCGAAGGTTCGAACCCAGCACTTGGAAGACTACCTGAAATTTACCTTGGGCAGGAGGCGTGCCACAGGGCGAGCTGGGGCGCCCCAGCACGCCCCGGGACGCCTCGGTGCACCGGGGCTGGATGGAACCCTGAACGGGGTAGTAAGGGGACGGGTGCATGCCTACAGGTGTAGCAGCAGGGAAGGGAGAATAACAAGGGTGGGTCGGGGGAAGGGGACTGCTAGCGTGGGGGGAAAGGAGGGGTTGGCAAGGGGGAAGGGGAGGACTAGCGTTGGGCTAGAGGGAAGGGAATGTGAGTGAAGGGGAAAGAAACGATGATGGAAAGCAGGACACGGGGGGGAGGGGGCTGGACCGGGTGGACGTCGGGGAAGGCCATGGGTTACGGGAGAGAGGGTAATGGCAGGGGGGACGGGAAGGGGTTGGAAGCGTGCGGGGAAACAGAGTGACCCGGGGAGGTGAGCCGGAGAGAGCAAGGTGTGTGAGGGTGTTACTGCTGCTTGTAACACATTCAGCTCGCAGGGCAGGTTGTGGGTGCGTGGAGGGGGAGTGGAGTGCGATGGAGAGTGGTGAGGAGCTTCCATACCGTGTGGGGACAGGAGTGGGCGAGGTGGAACACAAGGGCGTTTGTGTCAGCCGCAGCAGTAGAGAGGTAGTGGTGTGTGAGGGATACTGCTGCTTGTGAGAGAGAGAGGTGGAGGGCGGTGAGGATGAGGATGAGGGCGGTGAGAAGCCAATGGTAAGAAGGGGGCAGTGGGAGAGGTGGAGGACGGTGAGGGAGGGGTGGGCGGGGAGGTGGGTCAGGGGTAGTCACTGCAGGTTGGCGGAGAGCAGGGGGGAAGGCGTGGAGCAGCGAGGGTTGAGGCGAGGGTGATGATGCTGCCCCACCCTAAAAGATGGCGCGAGTGAACCAGCGACTGCAGGGGAAGGGGCGGAGGCGGGGGTGGGTAGGGGATGTTGGTTGTGAGGAAAAGGGGCGCATCGGTGCTGATGCGTAGGCGCCCTTGAAGAGTCAACTGGAGGGGAAGTGGGTGGGGGCATGGGGGGGAGAGGCGGAAGTGAAAGGCGACGGGAGGGGGATGTGAAGGCGACGGGAGCGGGATGTGAAGGCGTCGGGAGGGGGAAGTGAAAGGCGACGGGAATGGGATGTGAAGGTGACGGGAGGGGGTAGTGAAGGCGACGGGAGTGGGACGTGGAGGCGACGGGAGGGGGATGTGAAGGTGAAGGGAGGGGTATGTGAAGGCTTCGGGAGGGGGAAGCGTTGGCGATGGGAGGGGGATGTGAAGGCGACGGGAGGGGGATGTGTGGGCGACGGGAATGGGATGTGAAGGCGACGGGAGGGGGATGTGATCGCGACGGGAGGGGGATGTGTAGGTGACGGGAGGGGGATGTGTAGGCGACGGGAGGGGGATGTGTAGGCGACGGGAGGGGGATGTGTAGGCGACAGGAGGGGGATGTGTAGGCGACGGGAGGGGGATGTGTAGGCGACGGGAGGGGGATGTGTAGGCGACGGGAGGGGGATATGTAGGCGACGGGAGGGGGATGTGTTGGCGACGGGAATGGTCGTTCATGCGTTATTTCTTCGGAAATGTGCCGCGTGGAGCTCCGCGTGAGGAGATTGCAAGTGCGGAGCTTGTATAGTGGCGTGCGGGAAAGGTAGTGGTAGCGTGGCGGATGGCGCGCTAGTGGCGGGATACGTCATGTGGCGACATAACGCGACGAGAAGACTGTACGCGCTGCGGTCTAGTTGGGGAATAGCAATATGCCGAGTGCTTGATCCGGCTACAAGTTACTGTCCACGCAAGAAGCACGACATGATGGTGCTTGTCGGGCATGATGGTGCGGAATGACGTCCATCGTGTGCGCCTCACGTTTACTAGCTACGGCATTATGGCGGCTGATACTCGCAATTGATTCGACCGTCCCTGATTCTCGAAAATGACGAGTGAGGCCGATACGTAAGTTGCGCGCATGCCCGACGGGTTAGAGACGCCGCGGTTTTACGTGCTAGTACCCTAAGCAGAAGGGTATGTTGGAGAGTTACGTGCTTATGAACACGGAGGCATTTTACCTTCGTGTTGGGCAACAGATGTCGACCAACGTCGCACAGGTTGGGAAATCGTGGGCGACGACGGTGCGACAGAGTCACAAAAGCTGGTAACCGGTGGGGATGGGACCTTTTGTCGCGAGTATCGCTTCCTTATTTCGATGCATACATGTCTCGCCTGCCAATCACGTCTTCCTTCCCAACCAAGCTTCCTAACCTTGAAAGCTGTGGCCCGCGGGTTTTAATCGGTCAGCTGGTTCGAGGATGTTGCATCGACGGGCAAAATGTCGCACCGTTTGTGTGGTGCTGATTCTACCTCGAGAGCTAGCATCAGCCTCCGCACAAGTTATGCGGGGCAGCACCACCACCATCAGCAGGACTTCTAAGCAACATCCGCGCAACAACAGCAGATTGGGTGCGGCGTGAAACCACGCCTGCAGAACAGCGCCTCGAAGTGTTGGTCCCAGGGACTTCGACAGCCCTGGCTGGGATACATACCGAACCTCGCCGACTATCTGGCAAAAGGGGAGCGTCACCCCGACTTCCGTCGCGGTATCCAAAAGATGTGGTCCTGGGAGATCAAACCCTAGTGCTGGCTACAACTTCTGCCAGCCCCCAGATGGTGGTTTTCACGAGCGGCTCGGAGTGGTGTGGATATGGCGAACCTCACTGACTTAGAGAGCGGCGTTACAGGGAGATGCGTTTTAATATCCGCAAATGACTCACTTAAAAGATGTGGTTCCGGGGGATCAAACCCCGCCGGTTCTGGCTACAACTTCTGCCTGTCCTCTAAATGGTGGTTTTCACGAGCTCAGCGGCTCGGAGTGGAGTGGATATACCGAACCGAGTCGATGACTTAGAGAGTGAGAGGCGTTACAGGTAGAGGCGTTTTCTTATCCGCAAAACCCCGCTGTACAGGTACAGTCCCCTTCGAAAGATGTGGTTCTGAGGGATCAAACCCCGGTGTCGCCGGCTACAAGACTTCTGCCAGTCCCGAGATTGTGGGAGCGAAACAGCGCGCCAGGTAAGCGTTTGGTTGACGATGCGCGTTTCAGGCGGCGGTACTACCACCGCTCTATACCCCTTCTCTCCGTTCTCCCACATCCTCATTTTAGACTCGATACCCAAGTATAAAGTAAGGAGCGTTGGATAGTTATAATCAGCACCACGCCAACCTACTAGGTTACTACTAGTAACGCCTTCTAACGCCCTGACTTTCCCACTCTCGTCTCTGCTACCACTCTTGGCCGTCATGGGGCTTTTAGGAACTCACATCATCCTCCTATTCTGTAAGTCTGCTCTGGTGTTACGAGTTCTGCTGCAGCAGAGTGGCGCTGTTTAGCTGCTTGCAATTTCGTTCATCTGCCAGAACAGTGTTCTCATGCTAATTCATCGTGTGTGCTCGTCAGGTGCCGTGGCGCTGTTCACTGCCGCCGCGTCCGCATCGCTCCTCGGCCCGGCGGGATCATTCCTCCCACTGGCACGCGATAGTGGCGGCAGCCACGTTCCTCTCGCTTCAACCACTCAGGCAGCCACGCCCCAGCAATCGCAGAAACTCCGTAAGATTGTCCTGCGATGCAGAGCTCCTGAAAATAATTTGTAACCCTATATTTGTCAGGTTCCGCATTTCATTCCCCCATCTTGATGCCCCGTGTGGCGCTGTCGCCCATTTTGAAGAATCCTCTTCTCTGCTGTTCTTCCAATGTCACCGACACCTTCCAACATTCTTATTTTCAGCGAAGTATGTGGCCAAGTTGCGACCAACTAAGATAAATAAAAAGGTCGTGGGTGACAAAGGCGCACGGGGGAAATTTGTCATGAAGAATATAAGGTACGTCTCCATGCAGTTTTACTGCTGCTGCTGCTACCAGTAGTAAATTATATACCTGCTAGTAGCAGCAGCCGCATACAGTTTGAATTTCCGCAATGACTCTAGTTGTGCCTTTGAATGGTCCTTCCTGACAGCATGCCCTTCCTCGTTCCTATTTCACAGGTCCGGTACAGATACATACACCCAAATTTTCGCAATCTATCGGAACCTCAAGTCTGAAGGAGCTTCGCCTTTAGATATTCAAGGAGGTTCCTGCCTTGTTACCACCGGTAGTCCTATCCTTCCTGACTACGTACGACCTTATACAAATCTCACCACCAGGAGCAGTCGTCCTGGACGCTACTCGTTCGGATACAAGCTGACGATTGGGCCCTTACCGGCTTCGGATTTGAATTATATTATTGCACAAGTATTGTCTAAGGGGGGATATACCAGAGTGCAGCATGGAGAAAAGCAGGTGGGGCTCTGCGGGAAATTAAAGAAGAAAGCGTAGAAATCAGTGGCTCTATTTTTTTTTTCTTTGTTCCATGTGTCTGTTCTTTAGGAGGAATGGGGAGGTGGGAGAAGGGGAGATGGGGGTTGGGGGAGTAGGAGGAAGGGGATGTTGATTTCTTTCAAGCCTGGTGGTGTGCTGTGTTGCATGTCTGAACGTAGTGTTGAAACATTTTGAAGCATCATATTATATACCGTAATAAGAAACAAGTCAAACATCATTGTTGCATAATCCAATAAGATTTCAGGAGGGAATGGTGGCAATTCATTCCGCAATGGGGCTGTGTGGAATAGAAGAGGCGTGGCAGACATGGCAAGAATCTGCTGGTCTGCTGGCTGGTGGTGACATACAATCTCAGCAACCAGCTTGCCTGCTGGCTGGAGTCTTCCACTCCAAAGCCAATTTCCATCTTATAGCCGACTCTCTATGATTTATGGTGCAGACGTGGCAAGAATCCTCATAATGATTCCAACAGCCAGTGTGCGGCCACCCTCTCGCAAAGCGATGCGGCCAAACGCACGGAAGTCCGAATAGGCTTCGAGACACACGCCCCGGTCCAGAGACAACTGTGAGTGTTGGGGGGAGGTGGCGGGGGGAGGTGGTGGGGGGAGGTGGCGGGGGGAGGTGGAGGGGGGAGGTGGTGGGGGGGGTGGGGGGGGGAGGTGGTGGGGGGAGGTGGTGGGAGGAATGGGCAGGTAAAGACAGGTCAAGTTCAAGGTACGACTATTGAGGCGCCTCAAAATTCGCCTCAAAAGGTTAAGGTAGTCAAAATAGGCTTCAAGAATCAAGACGCCAGCCCCAGTCCAGAGACAACAGCAGGTGTGTGGAAGGTGACTTTTGAATTTTGAGTCGACTCAAAACGAGGTGACTTTTGAGTCGACTCAAAACAAGGTTACTTTTGACTATGAGTCGACTCAGAACGAGGTGACTTTTGACTTTTGAGTCGACTCAAAAGAGGTGACTTTTGACTTTTGAGTCGACTCAAAACGAGGTTACTTCTGACTTTGAGTCGACTCAAAACCAGGTGACTTTTGACTTTTGAGTCGACTCAAAAGTCACCAGAGACAACAGCAGGTGTGTGGAAGAGCGTGAGGAAGCGGGGGAGTGGGGGAAGCAACGGTTGGGCAAGTCCCAACGCAGGGAAGTTTGAGTAGGCTTCGATGTTGCAGGGTGTTTTTGAGAATTCTCAGAAACATCTGCAGGTGCGTGTCACGGTCCACGCCCCACGGCGTGCGTTTGAGGCGCCCCACGGCGTCCCTTCTGCAAATGCGTGTCACGGTCCACGGCGTGCATTTGGTCCAACATCATAGCCTTTGAGGCGCACGCCCCGGTCCAGAGACAACTGCAGGTGCGTGTGAGACAACTGCAGGTGCGTGTGAGACAACTGCAGGTGCGTGTGAGATGGAGGTAGGCAGGAGCAGGAGAAGTAGAGTACTCACAGGGCAGGTTCAGACGCACAGAAGAGTGAGTGGTCTTCGAGGCACACGCCACAGTCCAGTCCAGAGACACCGGTGGGGCAGAGACAGGGTGGGGTTGTGGTGGGTACGTGATAGAAGTGTATTTTTGAGACGTTTCAAGACGACTGAGTGGCCTTCAAAGCACACGCCACAGTCCAGTGTAGAGGCAACAGTGGGGCGCCCTTACCTCCACGATGGCACTCTGCTTGGACCCCACGGCTCTGGGCTTGGCCCGGGCAACATCGCCAGTCTTGGCGTCGAGAATGGCTGTGGGAGACACAGCTGTTACTCCTCACTCCCCTCCTCACTCCTCATCACCCTTCGTCCCCCCCACCCCCCACCCCTACTTCTCACCTCCACGATGGCACTCTGATTTGACCCCACGGCTCTGGGCTTGGCGCGGGCAACAGAACCCGTCTTGGCGTCGAGAATGGCTGTGAGGGCCGCAATGCGACACGCCTCCTTGGCTGCATGCGCGTGCAGAATGGCCTGGAGGGAGGGGTGGGGGAGGGGGAACAAGAGGGATGGGGGCAGGGGAAACAAGAGGGATGGGGGCAGGGGAAACAAGAGGGATGGGGGCAGGGGGAACAAGAGGGATGGGGGCAGGGGGAACAAGAGGGATGGGGGCAGGGGGAACAAGAGGGATGGGGGCAGGGGGAACAAGAGGGATGGGGGCAGGGGGAACAAGAGGGATGGGGGCAGGGGGAACAAGAGGGATGGGGGCAGGGGGAACAAGAGGGATGGGGGCAGGGGGAACAAGAGGGATGGGGGCAGGGGGAACAAGAGGGATGGGGGCAGGGGGAACAAGAGGGATGGGGGCAGGGGGAACAAGAGGGATGGGGGCAGGGGGAACAAGAGGGATGGGGGCAGGGGGAACAAGAGGGATGGGGGCAGGGGGAACAAGAGGGATGGGGGCAGGGGGAACAAGAGGGATGGGGGCAGGGGGAACAAGAGGGATGGGGGCAGGGGGAACAAGAGGGATGGGGGCAGGGGGAACAAGAGGGATGGGGGCAGGGGGAACAAGAGGGATGGGGGCAGGGGGAACAAGAGGGATGGGGGCAGGGGGAACAAGAGGGATGGGGGCAGGGGGAACAAGAGGGATGGGGGCAGGGGAAACAAGAGGGATGGGGGCAGGGGGAACAAGAGGGATGGGGGCAGGGGGAACAAGAGGGATGGGGGCAGGGGGAACAAGAGGGATGGGGGCAGGGGGAACAAGAGGGATGGGGGCAGGGGGAACAAGAGGGATGGGGGCAGGGGGAACAAGAGGGATGGGGGCAGGGGGAACAAGAGGGATGGGGGCAGGGGGAACAAGAGGGATGGGGGCAGGGGGAACAAGAGGGATGGGGGCAGGGGGAACAAGAGGGATGGGGGCAGGGGGAACAAGAGGGATGGGGGCAGGGGGAACAAGAGGGATGGGGGCAGGGGGAACAAGAGGGATGGGGGCAGGGGGAACAAGAGGGATGGGGGCAGGGGGAACAAGAGGGATGGGGGCAGGGGGAACAAGAGGGATGGGGGCAGGGGGAACAAGAGGGATGGGGGCAGGGGGAACAAGAGGGATGGGGGCAGGGGGAACAAGAGGGATGGGGGCAGGGGGAACAAGAGGGATGGGGGCAGGGGGAACAAGAGGGATGGGGGCAGGGGGAACAAGAGGGATGGGGGCAGGGGAAACAGCGATGCGACACGCTTCCTTGGCTGCACGCACATGCAGAATGGCCTTGGGAATGGGAGGCAGAGGGGTTGATGGGGAAGAAGATAGGAATAAGACTAATGTCAGCGAAATGGGAGGCGCATTGCTGTAGAAAGAGACAAGGGACATGAAGGGATCTTGAAGTGGAGCGTTACAAGTCTATTTTTTACGGCGCCTCGAAAAAAGGCATGCTCTTGTAGCGAGTGATGGGAAGTGGACAAGTCGATATTTGAGTCGACTTATCACAAAAGGCATGCTCTTGTAGCGAGTGATGGGAAGTGGAGTGCCGTCCTTGCCCCATGACGTGTGGTAGGAAGCCCCATTTGGGACTCATTGTTTCGTTGTGTGGCAGCAATAGTTGTTCAGATGCTTAGTAGAAAACGACCTTTCGGTCGGTGGTAAGTGGACTGCCGTCCTTGCCCCATGACGTGTACCCAAACTGCTTGGATTGCGCGGCTGCCACACACAGCTACCCACATTGGTGCGCCTGCCGCCCACTTGCATCACAGCCACTCATGTTGGTGCCTCTCAGAAGAGGGATGTTGAGGTGGAGAGTGAGAAGCCGCACCTTCACGCTGGTGGCGACAGGGACGGGAAATCCAACCCACGTCTCTCACTCGCAACAAGCCCCTATCCTTACTCACATTGCACTCCACGCACTCACATTGCACTCCACGCACTCACATTGCACTCCACGCACTCACTCACATTCGTGCCTCGGAGCAGCGGAATTTTGAGGTCGAGAGTGAGAAGGCGCGCCTCCACTCTGGTGGCGACGGGGATGGGGTAGTCCGGGTGGCACAACACGCCACCTGGCAGCAGCTGATTGGCCTCCACGCCCTGAAGCCCAACGTCCACGCTCTCCCCCGCCCATGCTGCTGCCACCGGTGATTCGTCCCTCTCAAGAGCCTTGACAGTTGCCTGAAAGGAGCCCGGCATTACCAGGACCTGAGGGGAGGGGAAGGGTTGATTTTTGAGGCTCCACAAAAATCAACTCAATGAGCCTGGCATTACCAGGACCTGAGGGGAGGGGAAGGGGAAGAGGGAAGGAAGGGTGCAATGCTAGTGACTACCCCCTCCATGCTCTCCCCCGCCACGCTGCTGCCACGGGTGACTCGTCCCGCTCTAGGGCTTTAACGGATGCTGGAAGGAGCCCGGCATAACAAGAACCTGGAGGGGTAGGAAGAAGGGTACGAGAGGGGTTTGAGTGACAGCCTTCCCTCCCGTGACCCACGCCCACGCCCTCCCCCGCCCATGCTGCTGTCACACCAGTGACTCGTCCAGCTCTAGGGCTTTAACGGATGCCTGGAAGGAGCCCGGCATTACCAGGACCTGGAAAAAAGGGGATAGGGGAGGGAGAGAGTGTGAAGCGGATGAGAGAAGAAGAGAATGTGAGAAGGGGAGCACTTAGACCCACGTCCACGTTCTCCCCAGCCCATGCTGCTGCCACCGGTGACTCGTCCCTCTCAAGAGCCTTCACAGTTGCCTGGAAAGGGCCCGGCATTACCAGGACCTGGCGGGAAGGGGAGGAGAGAAGAAGAGAAGAGGAGAAGGGGAGTATGGGGTCCTCTTCTCTTGCAAGCGATTGCCTACTACTCCCCAGCGGCCCCACATACACGCTCTTCCCCCCCCCCCCCTCCCGTGCTGCTACCACTGGTGACTCATCACTGGCCCCACATGGCCCCACATGGCCCCACATGGCCCCACATGGCCCCACATGGCCCCACATGGCCCCACATGGCCCCCAATCAATGTCTCACCTTGTTACCGCACCATACAGCTCTGCACCCCATCTCTCACCTTGGTACCGTATTGCACAGCCCCGCACTCCACTTTTCCCGCCACGCCTGCCTGCCCCAGCCCCCTCGTTTTAAGCAGTCACTCTATAAAGCCCCACATGGCCATACAAAGCCTAGCTTTGAGGCGCCTCAAAACTAGACCTGCCTGTCCCAGCCCCCTCGTTTTAAGCAGTCACTCTATAAAGCCCCACATGGCCAAACGAAGCTGCATTACCTGGCACCAAACCTTCTCGTCCCATCAATCACATTGGTACCCACCCGCACCGCCCCTCATCCCTTTTCTTTTCTCACCTTGGTACCGGGTCGCATCGCTCCGCACTCCACCTTCCCCGCCACGCCCGCCTGCCCCAACCCCCTCGTTTTGAGCACTTCGGCTATCGCCAGGCGCAGCGGGCGGTTGAGAGCACGGGGAGGGGGAGAGAAGGAGTCAACAGCTTCTAGGAGGGTGGGACCTGTGTACCTGTGGAAGAGGGAGGGGGGTGGGGGGGGGGGGGAGGAGAAAGGGGCGTTTGAGTGAGAGAGCAGCGAAGAGAGAACGGGTGGGGGAAAGGAGTCAATGGCTTGCCCTGCACTCCACCTTCCCTGCCACGCCTGCCTGTCCCAGCCCCCTCGTCTTGAGCACTTCAGCTATCGCCAGGCGCAGCGGGCGGTAGAGAGCGCGGGGAGGGGGGGAGAAGGAATCAACAGCTTCTAGAAGGGTGGGACCTGTGTACCTGTGAGAGTCAGTGAGAGGAATGGGGATACGGAAGGGAGGGGAGGAAGGAATCAGGAGCGCCTGTAGCGTAGCGTCTACGCCAGACAGGGTTGCACAGTGGCTTTTTGTTTTTTTTACTTGTCACCATTGCTTCAGCCGATCGTCTGTGAGAGCCGAGTCCAGATTCTCCCCCTGCAGCCCACTCAAGGGCACCCACTTCACCGCGCCCTCCCGGAACCCGCACTGCCTCGTCAGAAACGGCCCCGGCACCCCTTTAATGCGCTCAAACTCCCCTTGGTCGAACCCTGCAGTGTCCATCTTGTTGACCACCACGCACAGCTGCTCCACCCCACCCCCACCCCCACCCCGAACCCAGCCTCCAGGCGATCTGCGCGTGCTCACCATTTCACCATATTACCATTTCTTAAGCCGATCATCAGTCGGTGCTGCATCCAGATTCCCCCCCTGCAGCCCGCTCAGAGGCACCCATTTCACCGCACCTTTTTTGAACCCACATTGTCTCATTAGAAACGGCCCCAGCACCCCTTTAATCCGCTCGAACTCGCCTTGGTCGAACCCTGCAGAGTCCATTTTGATGACCACCACGCACAGCTGCTCCACCCCCAGCCCAAGCTCCTGGCACACCCCCAAGCTATCTTCTGCGCACGCTCACCATTTCTTAAGCCGATTGTCTGTCGGTGCTGCATCCAGATTCTCCCCTTGAAGCCCACTCAGCGGCACCCACCGCACTCCACCTTCTCGGAACCCGCACTGCTTCGTAAGGAACGGCCCCAGCACGCCTTTAATCCGCTCAAACTCGCCCTGATCAAACCCTGCAGCGTCCATCTTGTTGACCACCACGCACAGCTGCTCCACCCCCAGGCTCCTGGCGATCTGCGCATGCTCCTTGCTCTGTCCCACGTCCTCTCCCCCCTGGCCCCCTCCCATACCCGCTTCAAACGCCCCTGGCGTGGCGTCGATTACAAGGAGAGCTGCGTCAGCCTGGGGTAGGGAGAGAGAGAGAGAGCGGACAAGCCAAAAAAAAAAAAAAAAAAAAAAAAAAAAAAAAAAAAAAAAAAACGAAGTGTGAGCAACAGCCATCCTCCTGTATCCTCCCCTCCCCTTCATTTTGTTCACCACCGCGCACAGCCGCTCCGCTCCATCCCCTCCCCCATTCCTCCTTCCCCACCTTCCCCGTACTCACTTGAGCAGTGCCAGCGATCACGGACGGCACCAAGTCCCTGTGGGAACCCCCTTGGCAGGCACTGAACAGACCTCCCTCCCCCCGCCCTCTCTCCCTTCCCCACCTTCCCCACTCACCTGAGCAGTGCCAGCGATCACGGACGGCACAAAGTCCCTGTTGGCAGCTATGGTGAATTTACTTTTGAGAATACTCAAAAGTAAACTCACCTTTCCCGTACTCCACCGAACAGTGCCAGCGATCACGGACAGCACAGAGGAACCCCTTGGCAGGCACGGAACAGACCCTCCACCCTCCCCCCAACTCCCTCCCCCCAACTCCCTCCCCCCAACTCCCTCCCCCCAACTCCCTCCCCCCTCCCTCCCCCTCCCCCTCTCCCCCTGCACACCTGAGCAGTGCCGGCAATCATGGATGGAACAAAGTCCCTGTGCCCGGGGGCATCAAGCAGAACCACGTTCAGCCTGCTGACAAGGTGGGAGGCGGCAGACGCGGGGGGGGGGGGGGGGGGGGTGGGGGGGGGGGGGGAGCGAGGGGGAAGGGTAAGGGCGTGGGGGTGGGTAACAAAGTCCCTGTGACCGGGGGCGCATCGAGCAGAACCACGTTCAGCCTGGTGATGGGGGGAGGGGGCGGACGCAGGGGGGGTGGAGGGGGGGTGTGGCGCGAGGGGGAAGGGTGAGGGCGGGGGGGTTGGTAACAGAAAATGTCTTTAGGTATTGAGCAACTGACTGAAGGCCCGTGGGTCCAAGAAGGCATCCAGCCTGGTGATGGGAGGGGTGGGCAGTTGTACGTGGGGAGGGATTGGTCAGGGGTGGGGGTGGGGGTGGGGGTGGGGGTGGGGGGCTTGGTCAACGAGGAAGCAAAGGAGATGGGTGGGGAAGAGAAGAGAGGATACACCCCTGCCAAACGTGGTTTATTCACCCATCACCCGCTTCACGTGGTTCTGCTCATGACGATTTCGCACACAAGGAACCGCGGGAGGGTGATTTTACGCTGAGTCTGTTTTTCTTAGAATTCTAAAAAAGCACACTACTAGGCATCGCACATCCGGACACCCATGTCCAAAGTACTACTCTTGTCCAAAGTACTACTCTTGTCCAAAGTACTACTCTTGTCCGAAGTACTACTCCTTGCCTTGGCCCGCACCCAGAGACACCCATTCATCCACACCCACACCCGCACCCACACCAGCACCCACACCAGCACCCACACCAGCACCAGCACCCACTCTCACTTTGGTGTCTCGAATCGGGACAGGCCACGGCACGGACATGGCCACGGACATGGCCACGGACATGGCCACGGACATGGCCACGGACATGGCCACGGACATGGCCACGGACATGGCGCGCTCCTCGCTGCTTTCATCCAGCACGCACGCAAACACAGACGACCCCTTGCCCTGGCCAGATCACTGCTTGTACCCAGCCCCTTGCAACTTTGCAAGGCACCCTAGCCAACCTACCACGGGACGGGACAAACGCCCACACTCACTTTGGGGTCTCGAATCTCGACATGGTCACGCCTCGCGCCCGCTCCTCGCTGCTCTCATCCAGCACCCACGCGAACGCGAATGACCCCTTGCCCTGGCTGGTTAGTGTTTCCAATCACCCGGAAATGACCCGCGCCCACACTCACTTCGGAGTCTCGAATCGCGACATAGCCACAGACATGGTCACGCCCCTCGCCCGCTCCTCGCTGCTCTCGTCCAGCACCCATGCGAACGCGAACGACCCTTTGCCCTGGTTGGCGGCGTCCCTCTGGACTCGATGCATCTCCTTGTTGGAAACTCGCCCCAGCTTGTGCAACAAGTGGCCCATGATGGTCGACTTCCCTGCATCCACGTGACCCAGCTGTAGTAGAAGGGGAGTGTGAGGGTGGGTGGGAGTGGGTGGGGGTGGGTAGGAGTGGGCGGGAGCATGCGCCCTTGCCCTGGGTGGCGGCGTCCCTCTGAACGCGGAGCATCTCCTTGTTGCCCCACTCGCCCCAGCTTGTGCAAGAGGTGGCCCGTGATGGTCGATTCGATTTCCCCGCGTCCACATGGCCCACTTGAGAGAGGGTTCAGACAAGATGACTTCAGACAAGCATCCACCCTTATCCACCCTTTCCCACCCATCTCCACCCCTTTTGATCAACTTTTCACCCCCCTCCACTCACCACAATGAGGTGAAGGGTCGGCTTCCCATCTCCTTCTTTCATTCCTTCTTTAATCCACCCCTCCGCCTCATACGCCTCTAAAGCCCTCTCCCTTTCCACCCCTTACCACCCCTGTCCATCTCTTTCCACTCACCACAATGAGGTGCAGAGTCGGTTTTCCATCTCCTTCCTTCAGCCCATCTTTAATCCACCCCTCAGCTTCATACGCCTCTAAAGCCTTCCGCCTCCTAGTCTCCTCATCCTCCCCTCCCTTGCCCTCCCCTCCTCCCTCTCCCCCCCCTGCAGCGGCTGCTGTGGCTGTAGCAGCTGTAGCAGAAGTGCTAAAGCCAGCACTGGGCGAAGCTTCTTTCTTGCTTCCTTCTGTGATCTGAATCTTTCCAACGCCTGCTGTTGCCACGTCAGCAGCAGGGGATGCTGAGCTGGACGCGCGGCTGCTGCTGTTGGCGATTTTTGCTGCTGCGGTTCCAGCCGAGGAAGCTGGCACAGCTGCTGACGTGGCAGCAGCACGTGGTGCCACGTGTCCTCCTTTCAGAGCGGATTGGATGGCATCATCGGGTGAAGGAGTGGAGAAATCAAACGGCTCTGAGGGGAGGGGAGAAAGAGGAGGACACGGAAAGGGAGAAAGTGGGAGATTATACTATTATACTATAAAATGGTTCCGAGGGGAGGGAGAGAGAACGGTTTTTACAGAAGTTTATCCTCCCCCCCACCCACACCCACAAAAAAAATATCTGCAGCCTACAGAAGTGTTTCCTCCTCATGTGTCTCAGGAAAGAAGCGCAAAAAAAAAAAAAAAAAAAAAAAAAAAAAAAAAAACCTTCTTCCCACCTATTCTCATCTCCCCTGCCGCTTTCAGCACCCACGGCACGCGGGCCAATGGGAGCACGCCAAGTGGCTGCCCCGCAGAAGCCTGCTGCAGCACACACGCACCCCTCCCCGCCTCTGCACTCCCCTTGCTCACCCTCCCATACCCCTGCTTGCGCTGGCAGCGCGGGGCAGGGGCAGCAAGGCTAGCAGCCAAAGGTGACACCTGGGGAAGGCTGGACCTGGACCCCAGGCCAGGAGGTGGTACTTGGGGAAGGTGGATCTGATTTAGGCTGATTCCCTTGGTCGGATCGCTCTCTCTTTCTGACTCAGTGTAAGAGCGAGCGTGCAGGTGTGGGAGTGAGAGTGACTGGTGTGCTTGGTGCCTCTCTCGCCCTCGTGACCCCTCCGTGTGTGTGCCTGCACACAGGCAGCAGCAGCACAGGAGGGGCGGGAGCAGGAGCAGAGGCACCAGCGTGTTCTGAATTTACACGGTTTTGATACATACAGACGTTTTGCTGCCCCTGGCACCCTCCCTCTCTCTCGCCGTTCCCCCTCGCTCTCTCTCTCTCTCTCTCCCCTTCCCTCTCCATGCGTGTGCGCACTCAGGCAGAACAGGAGGGCGAAGGAGCTGGTAGTGACAGCTAGTGTAGTGTGCGGACGCCTTGTGAAAAAATTTTCACCTTGAGCAGCAGTAGCAGCTGGGTTGGCAGCGCAGCACACAAGACAGAGCGGCGGGTTGTTGTCGAGCGTGTTCCGCCTCTCTCACCTCCATACTCCACACGCTCAGGATGTAACCAGCACTGCAGCATGGTAACCAGCACTGCAGCATGGCAATCAGCACTGCAGCATGGTAACCAGCCAGAGCCTACCTTCTTGAGCGGGTCTGGCAGCGCTGCAGACCTTGCACGCGAGGAAGAGCGGCGGGTTGTCGAAATGGTAACCAGCACTGAAGCACTGTAACCAGCACCAACCACGGCATACCTTGTTGAGCGGGTCTGGCGGCGCTGCACACGTCGCATACGAGGAAGAGCGGCGGGTTGTCGAAGGTGCACGCCGCGCACCTCCACGTTCCGCCTGCGCCGCCGCCGCTTGCTGAGGATCCGCCCTTTGCGGCGGACCCGCCGGAAACTGGGGCGTCAGCGGGAGGGGTCTCCGCTTTGTTCGGGGTAGTAGCGGGCGACTTAGATCCAGCCTTTCCCCCTGTTTGTTGCCGCTGCTGCTGCTGCGGTTTCTGCTGAGCTGGTTGCTTAGCTTGTGGCTGCTTCGTCACTGGCTGCTTCGGTGGCGGTTGTTGCTTTCCACCTTTCTGGGATTTCGCCTGCAGTCGGCCTGCCTCCTCGTACTCGTCATAGTCGTCCTCGTCTTCGTCATAGTCATCATCGTCGTACCCGTCGTCCCAATCGTCATCGTCGTACTGTTCTTTTCCGCGCGGCATGCTGTCGCTCTCACAATGCAACGACACTTCGTACGTAAGAACAAAACGACACAAAAAAAGAGCGCAGGAAAAGGCTCCAAAGATCTAAAAACGCCAACGGCGGAAAACACGGCTAATGCTACAACCGCGACCCGTTATAGGGTGTATGGAACGGACTAACTGACACATATGGTCTGGTCGGGCTGAACGGACTGCCTACCTCTCTGATCCGTGGGGCTATGTAGTAAGCTAACATCCCCGATTGGATAGACTACGGGGTGTGGCCACATGTATAAACATCATAGGATTGAAAGATCACTATGCTTTGAACTGTCATGTACTTGCATATTCAAAAGAAATTTATGTAGTAGTATCAATATTTTTTTTAGTGCAGGAATTGGAACGTGCAATGGTATTCAATTTATCGACTATGATTGACAAATGCTAGTAGAATGATTACAAATACAAGTCAGTGGTATTAGAGAAACTTTATAGTTTGAGCGACGAGCAGCAACTAACTGATATAGATATATTATTAACCATTTCTCATATTTTTTGGAATTTCATACGGATATTAGATTTCTATTCTGGACTTAGTTTGGAATCTGGATACATTTAATTCCACTTGGCAATCGAAGTCTTTACAGTGATACATCGAAACAAATACCCAGCAGAAGCTCTCTCAATAGCTGGTAATTTAAATCCCCCCATCTACACCTCGTCCCTACCAACTCATTCCGTGGCCTTGGGATTTCCTTCCAAGCCAGCCTCGATTCGCTTTTGAACCTCAAATCTCGAGCCAAGCCCAATCGGTTTGCTCTCTTTCCTCTACTCGGTAGTACGCTCTCGACGCTTCTCCTCTCTCGTTTACAGTAACTCAGCTTTCCGGATCCCGCGTTTACAGTAGCTCCTGTGCGTCCTTACTATCCCAAGCAGTCAACTTTGATTCCCTTTTCATGCTTAGACGCAGCTGTTGGCAGCTTGAAGCAGCCGTTTCTTGACCAATTGGGTTATTCTCGAACCGATGACGAATAGGTGGGTGCATCTGCTTAGCGTGAGACTCTTCTTATGATTCTTTGTGAGATCGTTTTCGTCAACACGCTTGGCTGCACGTGGCTCCATGCGGCGTTAGAACGATATCAGTGGAGTAGAAACTTCGAATTTTCGTCACAACGTTTTTTCCGAATTCCTAGACTTCCCTTTCTGACCCCAAAGCCGTAACGCGAGCGATATAGGTCAGCTATTGACAGTTTCCTTAGCGCAGTACATCTCTTGCTTTCATTAGTATGAGCGACGCAGTGGTGCTGCGCTTCCCGTTCCATAGTTGCTACCTAGCTGAACCTGGTTGTAATACCTTCAACGCCTTACAGCAATGGTCATCTTATCGCCATCTCGTTTCTTGGTGGCTCCGTTTCAAGTCCGGTCGTATTTCGATAGCTTTTTTTTTTAATGTACTTTGTTTTTTATCATATTCCGTTTTGTTTCATACGCTGCGTATGGATCGCCTGAGCTTTCGCATGTGAAATTCTATTCCTTTTTCATCTTTTCACATGTTTTTTTCCCCAGAATTCTGTGCAAGTACTTCGTAAATGGAGCATGCAGTAGAGGGGACAGTTGTCCCTTTTCCCACAATTGGAAGGACAAACCTAACATGGTGGGGCCCATGTTCCGTCATCCTCTATCGTGTCATCCTCTATCGTGTCATCCCCCGTTTCTGTCAACCCCTGTTCCCTCATCCTCTATCCTGTCATCCCCCGTATCCGTCAACGTCTGTTCCGTCATCCTCTATCCTGTCATCCCCGATTCAGTCAATACCTCTTCTGTCACATCCTTGTTACCCCCTGTCCCTGTCACCTCCTTGTCACACCCGGTTCTGTCACCTCCTTTCACTCTGTCTTCTGTGATTGATTCATCGTGCTTGTGCCCTATGATCCTCAAACGCTGCAACAAACGCACTACATGCTTACATACCTGCCGCTCCCACACCCTTCTCATCTCACTCCAGTATCCCGCTCTCTTGCACCCATACTCCCTCACAACCACACACCCACGCACCACACACACGCAACCACACATCCACACCACACCCCCTCCCCCTCCTCCCCCCCCCCCCCCCCCCCACACTCACACCCAACTGTTCCTCTCCATGTCCCACTCTTCCTCCGCCCGTTTCGCGTGCTTTCCCCCTCCACTTCAGGCGTGTGTGTTCTACCAGCGTGGTGTCTGCTCCTACGGGGACCGCTGCCGCTACGACCATGTCAAGCCCAAACCCTCCTCATCTGCCGTCCCTGCCCCACCACCCGCCGCTGTCCCACCGACGCAAGCAACTTTTGCACCCGCTCTCCCGTCTGTTTCCCCCGCCCGCGCTGCTGGTGCATCAACACTCCCCTCTGCTTCCCCCTCACGCCCCACTGCTGCCTCGCCTGTGGCCCCACCTGCTGCTTCCAGTAGCAGCAGCAGAGGCGTCAGCAGCAGCAGTGGAAGCACTGTGAGCAGCAGTAACGGGAGTAGCAGACTAACGGGCAGTAGCAGTGCCACCAGTAGCAGCAGCAGCAGCAGCAGTACTGGGGCTAGTAGGGTCACTGGTAACGGTGTGACAGGCGGTGCTAGAGCTGCATCAAGTCCTGCTGCTGATTCCCTCTCCTCCCTCTCCTCCTCCTCATGGCCTTCCCTTCAACCCCAAACCTCTGCCTCTTCTGCTGCCACTGGCAGCTCAGTTGCTGTTTCAAATACACCTGCAAGGCCCCAGTACCCTGCCAATGCTTCCCCATACTCGGCCAGAGGACCCCCATACCCATCCACACCTCCTCCCACCACTACAACACTTCTTCAGCACTCCCCCGTTCCTGTCCGCCCCACTTCCTCCTCTTCCGCGCCTTCTCCCTTCGCTGCTCCCTCCCTCTCCTCTGCTTCCACCACGCCCTCTTCCACTACCCCTCGTTCTGTCTCTGCTACTCAATCCTCCTCCTCTACCCCTCTCTCTGTCTCCGCTTCTCCCTTTCTCCCCTCCGCCGCTGCCGCCCCTTTTATTCCCTCCAGCCAATCAGCAGGCACCACGTCAGCAGTCGTGAACCCAGCCTTCTCGTCTGTCCCATCTTCTAGGTTAACCCCCACCGCTCCTGTTTTCCATCCTCCTACTGCTGCTCGTGCTGCTGCCGGTTCTTTTGCTGCTGCCGTTGCTGCTGCTGCTGGTTCTGCTTCCGCGTCTTCTGCTGCTGCTGCTGCTGCACCTGCCGCAACTGCCACTGCCCCATCTGCTGCTGCAGCAGCTGCAGTACCGGTTACCTCCACTGTCACCCGTAACCGTTCCGGCCTCTACACTCCAGCCCAGTATTACGCTGAACGCGCCCAAGCCTCTATACCCGTTACTGGTCCCATACTCGCTACAAACGGACTCGTTTCCGGGTACAGCTACGCCCATCCCTCTTCCACTTCTTCCACCACCCCCCAGTACGCCCCCGCCCCCTCCCCCAAGGCTAATCTCGAGCGAGATGCATCTGCGAGCTCATTGGACGGTCCAGATTGGCTGCCGCGATCAGCTAGCGATCTGTTTGACGAGGGGCTTCCAGTGATGCGCATGAGTAGCGGCGGTGGGGGAGGGGCGGGCCAGAGAGGAAATGCGGCTGTATTGGGCTCTGCAGAGAGAGGAGGAGGGGGAATAATAAGACCCGGGAGCGGGGAAATGCGCATGGGAGAGTCAGGTATAGGGGTGGCAGGGGCGGGAGAGGCAGGGGAGTTGGGTTTCGTGTTGCAGGGGCCCCAGCAGCAGCAGAGCGTGTGGATGGAGAGGGACCCGTTAGTGAGTGATCCGTTTGAGGAGGAGGAGCTGGGATTCGAGTGTGAGGTGGGGGAGGAGCCGCAGCAGCAGGGCGTGTGGGCGGAGGGAGGGGCTGGGTTTGCAAGTGAGGAGGAATTCGAGGACTTTGTGAGGGAGGCAAGCGATTTCTCTGCACAGGCCTCTGCTCTGCGAATAGGGCTTATCGCGCTTATGGATGAGGAGAGTCCGTCTGGTGCCTCTGCTGCTGCTGCTTCTGCTGCTCGCGGTGGTGCTGGTGGTGACGCTGGTGCTACTGCTGGCGCTTCTGCTGCGGCTCCAGCCACTTCCTCCCTTGAAGCCGCCGCAGCGTCATCAGCACCTATACCTCCTGCTTTCTCATCAGCCACAGTGGCAGCGGTAGCTCCTGCAGTATCTGCCACTTGTGCAGCACCTGTGCCCGCTGCTAGCGAGCGCCTAGATTCGCAAGTACTGGATTCTCTAGGCAAGCCGTCTGCCAGGCGGTTTCCTGCTGACTACACTGGTTACGATGATCCTGGTGGTTACAGTTCCTATGCTGGCTATAATGGCTACAGTGGCTACGGCAGTGAATACGGTGCTAGTATTACTGCTAACGCTGATAACGGTGCTGCTGCTGCATCTGCCAATGGTGGCGATGGTGGGAGCAGCAGCGGGTATGCTGCCTCCTCTTTGGCAGACAGGCTTGACAAACCTCACATGCCTCTCTGCACCTTGCCACGAGTGGAGGCTGCTGCAGGCGCCTGCTGTGCTCGTGGCCCCTCCTGCCCCTTCCCCCATGGGGACCTCTGCCCCCACTGCGGCCGCTACTGCCTGCACCCGGCCAGACCCACAGTATGTTTTCATTGCTGTACACATACTGTTCACATACTGTTCACAGGCAATCAGAGTTTGTGGTCCATTCTTCCTGGAAATGCCCCTTCTCCATTTCGGAATAATATCCCCTTCTTTGCCTCTCCGCCTCGAGAAGTCTTACGTTCTTCCTCACCTCTTATCTCGCGATCTTTGTCTCTTGAACATAACCACCCATTCCCCCTCCCATCCCTCCCTCGTCCCGTCTCTCTCGCTGGGGGCCTTCTGCTTCTCACCCATCCACCCACCCACCGACCCACCCACCCACCACAGGAACGGGAGGAGCACATGAAAGAGTGTTTGCGGTTACAGAGGAAGGTGCAAGCGTTGAAGCTAAGCTCAGAGATTGAGTGCAGCGTGTGCCTGGAGCGCGTGCTGGGGAAGGCCCGCCCTGCCGACCGCAAGTTTGGCATTCTCTCGCACTGCGACCACCCCTTCTGTGTGGCGTGCATTCGCAACTGGCGGGCTGCTGGGCAGGTGAGGTTGGTGTTGGGGGGAAGGAGAGAATGGTGTGGTGTGTGGAAAGGTGGTGCTAAGAGGTGGGGAAGGTCCGGTCAGCTGATCGCAAGTTTGGCATCCTCTCGCACTGCGACCACCCCTTCTGTGTGGCGGGCTGCTGGGCAGGTGGGTGTGGTGTGGTTGGTGGGTGGGGAGGGAATGGGAAGACGGGGTGTCGCATGGGATGGAGGGGGTGGGGAATCGGGATGATTCGTGTGGTTTGGTTGGTATTCGCTCCCACTGCGACCACCCGTTCTGTGTGGCCTGCATTTGCAACTGGCGGGCTGCTGGGAAGGCGGGTGTGGGGAGAGGGGAGGAGAAGGGGGGCGAGGGGGGAAATGGGGCGAGGGGGGGAAATGGGGCGAGGGGAGGAGAAGGGGGGCGAGGGGGGGAAATGGGGCGAGGGGGGGAAATGGGGCGAGGGATGGAGAAACGGGGGAAGGCAACAGTGTATCGGTCCTTTAGATCTGCACAAGGCAGAGAGGGCATGCCCTGTGTGCCGGGCCGCGTGCGGTCACACTTTGTCACTCCCAGTGTGGTGTGGTTCTCTCTCCCGCCTTGTTCTCAACCCCCTGCTTTTTCTCGCCCTTCCCCCAGAAGGAGAGTGGAGAGTAGGTCCCTCTGGATCTTGACAACGCAGTGCGGGCCTGCCCTGTGTGCCATAGGTGCAAACACTTGCTATTATCCCCCCTCTCCTTCTAAACCCCCCAGCAGGAGAGTGGCGAGTCAGTGCCTCTGGACCTCGACAACGCAGTGCGGGCCTGCCCTGTGTGCCGCGTGCGATCACACTTTGTCACTCCCAGTGTGGTGTGGTTCTTCAGTGAAGAGGAGAAGCAGGCAATCATCGAAGGATACAAGAGAAAGCTCAAGTGAGAAAGAAGAGGGGTAGAAGGGTGTGTGTGTGGTGTTATGCTTGGCTCGGGATGTCTCTAAATAGCCGTGTGACTCCCAGCGTCGTGTGGTTCTTCAGTGAGGAGGAGAAGCAGGCAATCATCGAAGCATACAAGAGGAAGCTCAAGTGAGGAACGGGTGGGGGAGGAGGGTGTCTGGGGGTTGTTATTATTGGCGGGGGATGTCCCTATATACCTTCGTCACTCCCAGTGTGGTGTGGCTCTTCAGTGAGGAGGAGAAGCAGGCGATCATGGAAGAATATAAGAGAAAGCTCAAGTGAGAAGCCAGGGGGAGCAAGGGGGGGGGGGGAGGAGGGGGGAGGTGAGACATGTTTGTGTAGGTTGTGCGGGCCCTATAGACATGTCCCCTATAGGTTTGTTGTCACGCCCAGTGTGGTGTGTTTCTTTAGCGAGGAAGAGAAGCAGGCGATCATTGAAGGATACAAACGAAAGCTAAAGTAAGGACCAGAGGGGTGGGAGGTAAGTGTTTGACAAAGCAGCTTAGATGGTTTTCCTCGTGTTTTCATTCCTTTTTTCAGATCTGCCACTGACTGTCCCGTCCACTTCCCCCCACTCCTTTTCCCTCACCCTTAATCTCTTTCCCTTCACCAGAGCACCAATTGTCAGTGCTCATTCAAGCACAATTTTTTACTGATTGCCCTTTGCTCATTTCTCCATACCTCTCTTCCCTTCCCCTCCTCCCTGCCTCTCCCACAGGAGCACTGACTGTCGCTATTTCAACTACGGCAATGGCCAGTGCCCCTTTGGCACCAGCTGCTTTTACAAGGTGTTTGTCTTTTGCCCTTTCCTTTCTGCTTGATGCTTGCCCATTCTGCTCCTCCTTGCATGCCATTGCCTGTCTTACATGGGCTCTTTACTTGTCTTCAAATTCTCGCCGCTACCAGTGGCTTTGACAGATGCTTCTTACCCTTTCTGCTGCTCCATGCTTTTCTGCTTCTTGTTGCCCTTCCTAGTTGGTCTCTCCCCTCCTCTTGTCTCCTGTCTCCCACTCCTCTCCTCCCCCCTCCCCTCACCTTGTCGTTTGTTTTCTTTTCCAGTGGCTGTTTTAATTTCCACACTCGCGTGCACGGTTGGACGAGGTGACTCATTCTTCAAGTGTCTCACTAATGCTTCAATTTTCCTATTCCCCCCCAATCTATCCCGCCCCCTTCCCTTCCTCTTCCCCCCTCTCGTTGCCCCTTCCTCCCACCACCACCACCGCTGCCGCCGCTGCCACCACCACCACCACCACCATCACCACCACCACCACCACCACCGCCCCCACGCACTCGCAGCACGCATATCGGGATGGGCGGCTGGAGGAGGTGAAATTGCGGCACTTGTCTTCTGCTGATGGGAGCGCTGTCATTTCAAGAGACATCAGGTGCGTATGGAGCTGCATGGAAGATTATATGGCACTTGCTGAAAGTGATTCAAGTAAAGCGAAAATGCTCATTTGGACTGTTTCATGTTGCCGACTGTCTGTTGAAATGCAAGCTCCTTTTCCCCTTTGTCTGTATGCTTGTATCTCATTTGGCAGGTTGTCTGATTTCTTGGGTAATGTTGGCCAAAGACGATGAAGCTTTTGAAAAATCATCAGTAAAAAAATAGTGATGAACAAAGAAATTTTCTATACATGTAGACCGAACATACGGTATATGAAATCAGGAGTTAAACAAGCTTCCAGCTGTCTTCTACTATGCCCCTGGAGAGCATATTTTAATGTTATTGAATGTATCCATTCCCGTACATGTGAAATGGTGCTGCACAGAATGCAAAAATCAGCTATCTAGGAGATTATGGATGAAACAAGAGCACATCCATGCTCAACAGCCGTAGATCCCAACGTCTAGTGCGAGCTGCCTATTACCGATTTTAGGCTAGCTGGATAAGACGCATATCGGGTTACTACGGGAATCCCGAAGAGTTTGTCCGTCAACGCGAAACTCGAGCAGAGAACGCACCGCATTATGGCGTCTCCGTTTCGCATCCCGTCGCTCGCTCGCTTCACGAACGTCTCACTGATCGTTCTGTCGCTAGCGCTCGTCGCATGCCGTCGCGCGGCGGCCGTCGTGCTTCTGGTGGAAGGCAAGGAGTGCTTAACGGAGCACCTAGAAGCGAACGAGGCGGTGACGGGAAGCTTCGTGGTTATTGACGTGGACAGCGCGTGGCTTAGCGAGGCTGGAACCATCGACTTCGAGGTTCGTCGCATCGTACCGTGCGGTGTTCAGATGTTGTCTCGACGTTTTTGAGTCGACGCAAAGATATTGTCTCGACGTTTCTGCTCGTCCCATTGAGTCTTAACCTTGATATGGCTCACAATGTAAGAACTTGTGGCTTTCAAACGCTCGAAACGTCGACTTTGTACCGGGGAGGTTAAACCGTTGAATTAACTAATCGTTGCTATTGACTTGCACATGTGAGACGACATTTCCAGTTGAGGTCTATGCACTCAGGAGGCCATAGCTTCTGCCTCCCCCCCCCCCCCATCTCCCACTCTCCCTTAGTCCGTGTATCTACGAGACCACAGCTTCGGTTTGCGTCTCTGATCCACAGCACACCTTTTTCATCTCCTTATAAGCATGCGTTACAATGCAGATCAACCTGCTACAGGAAATTACAGCATTTACCGTCCCCCATCTGACTCTCCTTTTTGGGTATTTACCCCCTTGTTCTTCCCCCGTTTGCTCATTCAGATCATAGGCCCGCACAACCTGAAGCTGTACTGTGTGAAGCGCAAGGCGGAGGACAATTTCCAATTCCGGTCCATGTACTCGGTTGACTACAGCTTGTGCTTACCCCCACTTCTCCCTCTCAGTTGGCCTGGGCTCTTTTGTATGTGTGTGCGTTTTCCCTCTCCTCGTTTCAGATAATAGGCCCGCATAATCTAAAACTCTACAGTGCGAAGCGCAAGGCAGAGGACAATTTCCAGTTCCGGTCCATGTACTCGGGCGACTACAGCTTCTGCATGGATAACACGGACCACATGGCTGCTACTGTGCAGCTGAGCTACCACATCGGGCACAAACCACACACCCATGAGGTGGCCAAAGATGGTACGCTGTGCAGCGAGTGCTTGTATGAGGGGGGGTTGGGGCTGGGGGATGGGAGGGAGGGGGATGGGAGGGCGGGGAATGGTAGGTGGGGGATGGAAGGCCGGGGATGGGAGGTGGGGGACGGGAGGCGGGGGATGGGAAGCGGGGGATGGGAGTTCCGTCCATGTACTCAGGCGACTATAGCTTCTGTATGGATAGCACGGACCACATGGCTGCTACCGTGCAGCTCAGCTACCACATCGGGCACAAACCGCACACCCATGAAGTGGCCAAGCATGGTGAGTCGCTGCACACTCACGAGGTGACTAAACAAGGCAGTCCCTTGTTTCACAAGCTAGTGATTTTCTTTTTGGGGGGGGGGGGGGGGGCGAGGGAGGAGGGGAGGAGGGGGGGCGGGGAGGGGGGCGGGGGAAGGGGAAGGGGGCTGTACTCTCTGCCAACTTGAATACATGTCTCCTTATCTCTGTATCTCCAATTCATACCCCCCCCCCCCCCCCCCCCCCCCTTTCTTGCCTTCTTCAGAGCACATGCAGGGAGTTCGTGGACAGGTGGAATCAATGTGGTCTGGTCTGGTTCTATTGTAGCGGATTCATACGTACATTTCCACCCTCGGAGCACATGCAGGGAGTCCTTGGCCAGGTGGAGTCAATCCGGTCTGGTCTGGTTCGGATGCATCATTACATCCTTTCTCATCCCGTTTCCTAAACCCTTCTGCCTCCTCCCTTCCCCTTTCAGAGCACATGCAGGGAGTGCTTGGGCAGGTGGAGTCAATCCGGTCTGGCCTGGTTCTCGTGCAGCAGGATCAGGCTTACTTCCAAGCCCGCGATGAACGACGTCGGAGAAGTGAGTATTTATGCCTTGGTTGGCTCCTGGCCTACTAGCTTAAAAAAATTCTTTGCTATGCTAGTTAAGAAAATCTTTTGTGCTGTGAATGCTTGCAATATGCATCACGGACCTCTTCTTTCCAGGAAACTGCTAGCCACTTCACACCCAACATTTGTGTTTTCGTTTTCTGCTTATTGTTTACATGCAGCAAATGAGAGCACCAAGCAGCGTGTATTTTGGTATGCCCTGCTGGAAGTGTTGGTGCTAGTCCTTGCCAACGGGGCTCAAGTTCTCATTCTCCATCACCTCTTCAACAAAGCTGCTGCCAGAAGCCGCAAATGACAAACCGCCAGAGTTGCTGTATTCGATAAGGTTGCTAGATTCGTGTTTCTTTTTTTTGCGTTGGGGGTTTTATTATTGGTCTGTACATGTCCATTGAAGAAAGCTATGGATTTGTGCCTTTGGTTGATGTGTATGTTTTGCTGAATGTACGGGTGTTGATTCTTGGATCTAAACGTACTTTACAGTATCGAAGTCGGATTCTCAATGCATGTGTTCCTCCCCTTCCTGAAATATTTGAGCCGATTCGTGCATCCGCTCTTGCGTGGCATTCATGGGTGGGAGGCAAACTCCACGTGTAGTCCACTATTTCGCTGCCTTCGACCTAGCTGGCATCGCCTTCCCGCCACACAGGCCAGCTGACTCGTCAGAAAGTCGAACCGCAAGATTTTGAACGCGGCGCGCCTTGGTGTTCCCTCATTCATTGCAAGGCAATCGGTCTGATGGAGGCGACTCTGTCTTTCGCCACGACTTTCGCGAGCTCCGAGATGATGTCGCAATCCACATAGCCTCTCCCCACATTTCGTCAAAGCAAAAACAACACCAATGTACAGTGAGTTACGATTCGCACAATTTCCGACAGCGAATCAGTGACAGTCCAGCATAATCGTCTATCTAGGATTCTAGGGCATTTTCTAGGACCCATTCATCACTCTTCCGCATACCTGTTCCTAGAAAGTGCCCTAAGATGCATCAGTAGGCTGAGTGTTATGACAAGGGAGCGACGTCTTTGCGTAGCTCACTTCCATAAGCCATTTCGCTTTTAGCAGCAGCGTTTGATCTCTTCGCCTTCTGGAGGTCAGACAGGAATCAAAGCGAGATAGTCTGTCGTCATTTCGCGTGCCTTTTGAGAATAAAGCTCGCTCGGTCAAGCTTCACGCCGTCATGGCCACGTCAGCAGCAAATACTGGCCAAATAATAAGCGCACGGTGCGCACTGCCAGCGTCGCACAGTCAGGCAGTGTCGCACATTACTAACCGAGAGATGACGACGATATCGACTGCAACCAGGCAGCCATCAATTAACGCTTTCGCGTCGTTTCGACAACGTAGCCGGCCGTCCGATGGCCGACGCGAGACCGCTTTTGTGTTGTCCGGAAATAAGAGCGGAAAATTCGCCAGTGGCTCCGTTTCCCAGCAGACCAACGTGACACTACCGAGGATTAAGCTTACATCGAAGCCTCCACGCCAGCCCGCGTCGCAGCGGCTGTCTGTGCGAGCCTCGGCAGTTTCGAGGGACGGCGGCTCTCGCGAGGTGTGGGAGCTGCCGCCGTCGTGGAGCGACTTTCCCATTGGTGAGTTCAGCGGGCGAACGCAAAATCATAGATCGCACTTAAAACCCGAGGTCCACAGGTTTCAATGATAGGAAGGTTGGTTGGACCTGGTGCCCCAGGTAGGAAGGATGAGGCAACAAAGAGGAACTTGAGACTCCGGTTTGAGTAATAACTAGTAAAACCGAAAAGCGGGAATATGAAGTCAATCATAAGTAGAGTATATTTAATTATATTTAAAAGTTTAATGAATAATCAGATCCTCCCACGTTCCCATGTTCCCAGTCAGCTCGTGCTTCCCCACTCCCCTCCGTGCCTTACCCCAATTTCCCCTTTCCGCCTTTCTCCATTTCCTCCACGCCGTGCAGTGCGCACTATCGCGGGCGTGGCGGTACTCTTCGCGATAGAGCGCGCGCTCGCCGCCAGTGTGCGCGCCTACAGCTTCCCCGTGCCCGCGCCCGTGCTGATGCTGGCAGGAATTGGCGCGCTTATGGCGACCGGGCTGAAAGAGGCGGAGTTGGGTGAGTGACGGGGGGAAGAGATGGAAGAGGGGAAGGGGTATCCCTTGGCAGGGTAAGGCGGCGGAGTGGGGTGCGGTTGATTGTGAGAAGGGGCGGAATTGGCGTGAAAGCGAATGAAGCAGTAGCAAGCACGAGAGGGAACGGGAATGTCGCACTTGAAGAGGAGGGCATGGTTGGGCTTTCTTTTGAGTCGACTCAAAATAAGAGGAGGGTACTGTTGGGTAACGAGACTGGTTGGGAGTATAGACAGGCGTAGGCGAGATGTTGATTTCAATGAGCTCAATTTAACGTGATTTTGTTGGTGATGCAGCTTTGAAGCGCGTTCTAAGCTATATGTCGAAAGCAATTAATCATCAGGAATAAACTGCAGATTATTCCTTCATGATGGTTTTAAGCGAGCACTCAAATGTGCACTCCCTCACTCCCCCATTCCCCCACTCCCTCCTCCCATTTCTGCCTCCTCCGTTCCCGTTTCATGATTCATCGCCACGTGGCAGTGTACGATTGGTGCTACCCAGCCATCTCGTTCTTCGACCAATGGATGCCACTCTTCTTCGTCCCCTCCGTGGTAAGCCCTTCGTCCCCTCCGTGGTAAAGCCCTTTGTCCCTTCCGTGGTAAGCCCTTTGTCCCTGCCTCTCCTCCACCCATCCCCAAACCCTCCCCCTTTTTTCCTTGCTCTCTCCCTGGCCAACCCCTTACCTCCTTTCAACAACCTTTCTCCCACCCGACCTTACTCCTTTCCCCCCTGCTTCCGCCTCTTTGCTTGGTTCTTGTTGAGAATTCTTAAAATATCCCCTTTAATGAGCTTCTTCGTTTGGAATCTCCAATCAAGCTCGTACCACATTGTTGTTTTCTTTATATACTAAAACATCCTTTGACGGGACACTCCAACCCACTCAAAATCATTCTTACAACAACCACGTGAACACCTTCCCTTATTCTTCACCTCACCCATGCCTCGCTTGTCTGCCCTTCCTCCCCTCCCTTCTCTCCCACTCTTCTCTTCCCTCTTCTGCCGCTCCCCATCCCCCCAGGCATCCATCGCTCTCGCCCCTCTACCCACCGGACTCGCCCTGACTAAGTCCATCGCCCTCCTCTCCTCCTACCTCCTCACTCCCCTTCTCTATCCCCTCTTGTCGTCGTCCCCCCCTTCCCCCATCACAACCCCCACAGGCTTCAATCGCTCTCGCCCCTCTACCCACCGGACTCGCCCTGACCAAGTCCATCGCCCTCCTCCTCTCTTCCTACCTCCTCACTCTCTTCCTCTCCGCCCTCGTAGCCCGCTCTATAGGCCAACTACTCGACTCTTGGGGCTCTATTACTAGCAGCCTGGCGGACGGAAGCAGGGGGAAGGGCGCGGGGAAGGGGCGCGGGAGCGGACCTACCTCCTCACTCTCTCCCTCTCCGCCCTATTGTCCTGTCCTCCCTCTCCCCCCCTTCCCTCCCCTCCAGGCATCCATCGCTCTCGCCCCTCTACCCACCGGTCTCGCCCTGACCAAGTCTATCGCGCTCCTCCTCTCCTCCTACCTCCTCACTCTCTTCCTCTCCGCCCTCGTAGCCCGCTCGATAGGCCAACTACTCGACTCTTGGGGCTCTATTACTAGCAGCCTGGCGGACGGGAGCAGGGGGAAGGGCGCGGGGAAGGGGGGGAGGCGGAAGCGGGGGCCTTTGGGGGACGGGAGCATGAGCGATGGGGAGAAGGTGGAGCGGATAGGGGATGCTGCGCGCATGTGGGGGAAGCAGGCCGCGCAGAAGGGCGCCAAGGCGCTGGCGCAGGCCGCCATGGGCGCGGGGGAGAGGGACGTGCAGCAGGTGAGAGGGGAGGGCGCAGGGGATGGGGGGGAGGGGGTAGCGTGGCCATAGAAATGCACATAACCACGCCACTCACGCACACACACACGGCAGAAAGGCGCCAAGGCGCTGGCGCAGGCTGCCATGGGCGCGGGGGAGAGAGATGTGCAGCAGGTGAGGGGAGGCGGCATGGGGGGATGGGGGAATAAGGGGATGTGAGAATGTGGAGGCGGGTATAAGTGAAGACACACACACGGCAGGAGGGCGCCCATGCGCTGGCGCAGGCTGCCATGGGCGTGGGGGAGAGAGATGTGCAGCAGGTAAGGGGGGGGAGTGGGGAGATGGGGCAATGGGGAGTTGTTGGTGAGGGAATGGGGCGATGGGGATGGGGCGATGGGGATGGGGCGATGGGGATGGGGCGATGGGGATGGGGCGATGGGTGCATAGAAATGCACACAGACACACACTAGAGCTCTGCATAGGGACGCCAAGTCGCTGGCACAGGCTGCTATGGGCGCGGGGGAGAGAGATGTGGCACATGTGAGGTGGGGGGATGGGTGCATGTATTTGTGCACACATGCATGCATATGAATAGCCAGCCGCACATGCATGCGCACATGCACACGTGCACACGCGCACGCACACACACGCACACATGTACACATATGAGTGATTGGAGGAAGGGTCCTCCAATTACTCTTTTGCTCCTTGTTCACGCGCGCGCACACACGCACGCTAAGGTTCATGCTCCCTGACGACCTACGTCCACTCCTCTCCCTTTCCCCTCTTTGCTTCCTCCCTCGCTTGACCCTCCCTTTCTCCCTCCCTCCCTCCCTCCCTCCCTCCCTCCCTCCCTCCCTCCCTCCCTCCCTCCCTCCCTCCCTCCCTCCCTCCCTCCCTCCCTCTCTCCCTCTCTCCCTCCCTCCCTCCCTGCCCTTCCCTGCCCTTCCCTGCCCTTCCCTGCCCTTCCCTGCCCTTCCCTGCCCTTCCCTGCACTTACCTGCCCTTCCCTCTCCCCCCCAGTTGGCAGTGAAAGCAGCCAAGGCGCTCGACAAGGTAGCAGAGAGCATCAAAGCCCCGGCCAGACAAAAGCTGCCGCCCCTCCCCCTCTCCTCCGCCAAGTACCTCTACCTCGCTGCAGCCCTCATGCTCTCGCCCGTGCTCCTCACTCCCGTGCCCACTGCCCCTATGGTGAGTTCCCTGCGCTGACTGCCCACAGGGCCACAGCTCTTATGGTTCGCCTTTTGGAACTGAGTCGTCGCTCCGACTCAAGCTCTCAACCCCCTGCCCCTCTCCTCCACCAAGTACCTCTACCTCGCTGCTACCCTCGTGCTCTCTCCTGCCCTCCTGACACCTGTGCCCACGGCTCCCATGGTGAGTTGGTCGCCTACCTTCCGGCATGTGTCAGTGGGACAGCTCATTCCCTCCCCCTCTCCTCCGCCAAGTACCTCTTCCTCGCCGCTGCCTTCATGCTCTCGCACGCGCTCCTCACGCCCGTCCCCACGGCCCAAATGGTGAGTCAAACCCCTTCGTACCCGTATGTTTGTTGGTGAGGCAGCTCACTCCCTCCCCCTCTCCTCCGCCAAGTACCTCTATCTCGCTGCGGCTCTCATGCTCCCACCAGCCCTCCTCACCCCCATGCCCACCTCCCAAATGATGAGTCCACTGACTGCCTGCTTCGGGCATCTCACAGCCTATTTGTTACTTAGGCGTATCAATATCTCAACCCCTGCTCCTCTCCTCTGCCAAGTACCTCTCTGCCTTGCTGCATCCCTCATGCTCTCTCTCTCTAGCTCTCCTCGCTCCCATGCCCACTTCCCACTTCCCCTTCACTTCTGCCCCCGCTCCACTTCCCGTACCCCACTCTCTGCTGTCCTACTGTAATAAGACTGTTTTTGAGACGTCTCAACAACAATTTTATTACATGTATCCTACTCTCCGCTGTCCCACTGCACACCCATCTTGCCCGATTCTTTCCTCTCCTTTCCCCCATCTCATCCCCCTTCTCTCCTCCAACTTTCCCCATCCCTCCGCCTCCCTTCTTTCTCTCCCTCTCTCATCTCGTCCCCCTCCTCTCCCTGTTCCCCGCTGCAGGTGGCGCCCGGTCTTCTCCTCCTCTCTATCGCCGTCTTTCAGTCCGCCAAAACGTGAGTACAATGCGCAGGTGTCTCTTTCCCCTCGCTCCCCCACCCCCCCTTCGCCTCTCCCCATCCTCCTCCTCTCTATCGCCGTCTTTCAGTCCGCCAAAACGTGAGTACAATCGGGAAAGTGGCAGATGTGTTTCAACCTGCCTCTTCACCCCTTACACATCTGCCTCTTTCCCAGGTCAACACCTCTTCACCCCTTCACACACGTATCCCTTCACCCCATCGCCTCTCACATCTCCTTCCCCATACCGCTCGCTGCTAGTCCCTCAAAGTAGCAGCAGGTGGTGCGATATGTGACTTTTGACGACTCAAAAGTCACCTCAGTAGCAGCAGGTGGTGCGATATGTGACTTTTGACGACTCAAAAGTCACCTCAGTAGCAGCAGGTGGTGCGATATGTGACTTTTGACGACTCAAAAGTCACCTCAGTAGCAGCAGGTGGTGCGATATGTGACTTTTGACGACTCAAAAGTCACCTCAGTAGCAGCAGGTGGTGCGATATGTGACTTTTGACGACTCAAAAGTCACCTCAGTAGCAGCAGGTGGTGCGATATGTGACTTTTGACGACTCAAAAGTCACCTTAGTAGCAGCAGGTGGTGCGATATGTGACTTTTGACGACTCAAAAGTCACCTCAGTAGCAGCAGGTGTTGCGATATGTCCCTCATGGCTGCTCCCAAGCACTTCTTTCCCCATTCCCGTTCTCCTCCCCTTGTCCTCTCCCCCCACCCCTCCCCACCCCCCTTCACTCACACCCCTGCAGCCTCCCTGCAAACGTGCGCTCGCTGCGCTGCTGTTCCCCACTATGGCAGCACCCGGATTGATGACGTCTCTCTCTTTCATGGCCATGTACAGCTGCTTGATTTTTGAGTCGACTAAAAAATGTACAGCTGCTTGATTTTTGGGTCGACTAAAAAATATACAGCTGCTTGATTTTTGAGTCCACTAAAAAATGTACAGCTGCTTGATTTTTGAGTCGACTCAAAATTTTACATCTTCTTGATTTTTTAGTCAACTCAAAAATGTACAGCTGCTTGATTTTTTAGTCGACTCAAAATGTACAGCTGCTTGATTTTTGAGTCGACTCAAAAATGTACAGCTGCTTGATTTTTTAGTCGACTCGAAAATATACAGCTGCTTGATTTTTGAGTCGACTCAAAAATGTACAGCTGCTTGACTGCTCTTCCTCCATTTTCCCCTTCCCCCCTCCTCCTCCCTTTCCGCTCTTCCATTCTCCCTTCTTTCCATTCCCCCCACCCCCTTCTTCCCCAACTTTCATCCAGTCTCCCTGCCAACGTGCGCTCGCTGCTAGTCCCTACAGTAGCAGCAGGCGGGGTAATGACGTCGCTCATGGCCATGTATGGTTCATATGCTCTCAACAACTGGCAAGCAGGCATCCGGCTCTACTCCCAAGGGGCAGGTGAGACACTTCAGAGGGGGTGGGGTGGGGCATGGGTTTGGACAGCTGAGGGCATGTGGCTGCTGCAGGTGGCAGCAGGGGGCGTGATGACATCCCCCATGGCCATGTATGGATCCTACGCGCTCAACAACTGGCAGGCGGGCATTCGCCTCTACTTGCAAGGGGCAGGTGAGGCATAAGGCATGGGGGGGCATGCATGGGGTATTACGCATGGGCGTGGGGTGGGGCATGGGCGTGGGGTTGGAGCAGCAGGGGGGGTGATGACGTCGCTCATGGCCATGTACGGCTCCTACGCCCTCAGCAACTGGCAGGCGGGCATACGCCTCTAATCCCTACCTAATCCCAAGCAGCAGATACCGCACTGGGCTCTGGATGAGAGGGGAGGTGAGAGGTGGGCAATGGGGGGGAATGGGGAGAGATGGTGATGATGATGTTCCTGATGGGCAGGTACAGTGCGTCCTTTGGGCAATTTCTTTTAGTCGACTCAAAAATGGGCAGGTACAGTGCGTCCTTTGGGCAATCCCATGGTCCCTCCTGATGCACAGTTACAGTTCCTAGGTCCTCCCTCCGTATGTTGCTTCTCTCGTCTCGTGTGGCCGACTTTGTCTGTGGAGCCCGTCCCGTTCATTCCACCTTTCTTCCGTTCTTTCCTTCCTTTCTTCAACCGCTTCTCTTCGAAATTTTTCTGTGGAGCCCTGATGCCCTATTCCTCCGCACCTCCCCTCATTCGCTCTCCCTTCGCTTTTCCTCCTCTTTTTTCCTTAATGCCCGTCCTCTCCCTTCTATCCTCCCCTCCCTCCCTCCCTCCCTCCCTCCCTCCCTCCCTCCCTCCCTCCCTCCCTCCCTCCCTCCCTCCCTCCCTCCCTCCCTCCCTCCCTCCCTCCCTCCCTCCCTCCCTCCCTCCCTCCCTCCCTCCCTCCCTCCCTCCCTCCCTCCCTCCCTCCCTCCCTCCCTCCCTCTTACCCCGCATCTCCCTCTCGTCTCACAGGTGCATTTCTCGTGGCTCTGATCGGGCCTGCAGTGGGGGCGTTGGGCTTTAAGGTGAGCACAGGGTATCAAGTCTGATGCTCTCTTATCAAGGTGGGTGCTCGGTTATTGGCTTTAATCCATCCATCCCCCTTTATGCTTGAGGTGTGCGCTTCTGGTTGACTACTGGAATGAGCGCCGGGACTTCTAAATCGTTGCTTTCACGATCGGGGCTTGACCTTTCTCTTTCTGCTCACCCTCTTCCTTTCCGTGTGTGTGCACACCCTCTTTTGAGACGTCTCAAAAGTCGTCTACTTTCCGTGTGTGTGCACACCCTCTTTCAGTACTCTTCCCCTATCCTCACAAGTACCCATGGAGAATAATCGTCCTTTCGGCTCGCTGCTCAAGACATGCGTATGTCATTGCTTCCTCCTCCCCCCTCCCCGCCACCTATCCTCACAGGTATTCACTTGGAAGCCGCTGCTCAAGAGATACATGCTCGATTTTTCGCTTCACACCCACCCTCGTTTCCTTTCTTTCCTCCTTCTCCACCACTCTCTCCCCCATGCTCGCTCACAGGTATTCACTTAAAGTCGCTGCTCAAGAGATACGCGCTTGACCTTTCTCTGTCCTCCAACCCTCGTCCTCTCTTTCCTCCAACCCTCGTCCTCTCTGTCCTCCTCCTCCTCCGCTCCCTCTCCCCATGCTCACCCACAGGTATTCACGGAAAAGTCGCTGCTCAAGAGATACGCCCTTGACATTGCTGCCACGTGTGCCATCATGGTGCCAGTGTGAGTGTGCCACTTCATGGTGCCAGTGTGAGTGAGCCACTTCATGGTGCCAGTGTGAGTGTGCCACTTCATGGTGCCAGCGTGAGTGTGCCACGTCATGGTGCCAGTGTCAATGTGGTCCGCTTGACATGGTATTTGTGAATCGTTTGGAAAGTTGATCAGGAATGCTAAAACAGATTATGGGTACGTTTTATACGTATATAAATTTGTAAGTAAGGGATCGTGTACATATATGCCTCCCTGCACTCGTTTTTCTTTTTGTTTAATCTTACATTGAGCTGAGTGTTTACTTGAGAATTCTCAAAAAACACACACTGAGTGTTTACTTGAGAATTCTCAAAAAACACACACTGAGTGTTTACTTGAGAATTCTCAAAAAACACACACTGAGTGTTTACTTGAGAATTCCAAAAAAAACACACACTGAGTGTTTACTTGAGAATTCTCAAAAAACACACACTGAGTGTTTACTTGAGTTTTCTCAAAAAACACACACTGAGTGTTTACTTGAGAATTCTCAAAAAACACACACTGAGTGTTTACTTGAGAATTCTCAAAAACACACACTGAGTGTTTACTTGCCTCCCAACTCTCTCGTCCTTCCTTTCCGCCCTCCCTCTGTTCCCCCTTCTCCTCTCCACTCCTCCCCTGACCCTCTTCTTTCCCCTCGTCTCCTCTCCCCACCCTTGACAGTCAGTTCATGGTAACAGTGCTACTAGGGAGGCTGCTGCTTATGGTACTTGGCGCTTCAGTCCGCTCCCTTCATCCCCTTCTCCTCCCTACTTCTCCTCTCCCGTCTCTCTCCCCACCCCCATCACAGCCAGTTCATGGTGACAGCGCTGCTAGGGAGGTTGCTTATGGCGCCCCCCATCGTCATCAACTCGCTTATCCCCTCACACGTACGTGTGTAGTTACATGGCCTCCTCTGCTTGCTGCCTGCGTGCTCGCTCGCTCACACGTGCATGTGTGTGTGTGCGCGCACGTTGTGCTCCCCTTGTGTCATGACATGACAACACAAGCCTCGCGGTGGCTGCTTGGATCATACCAACCAAGTGACTTGGCGTTGTGCTCCCCTTGTGTCATGACATGACAACACAAGCCTCGCGGTGGCTGCTTGGATCATACCAACCAAGTGACTTGGTGTTGTGCTCCCCTTGTGTCCCTTGTGCACACATATGCTCACACGTGCATGTGTGTGTGTGTGTGTGTGTGCGTGTGTGTGTGTGTGTGTGTGTGTGTGTGTGTGTGTGTGTGTGTGTGTGTGTGAGTGTGCGCGCGCGCGTGCGTGCGTGTTGTGCTCCCCTTGTGTCATGACAACACAAGCTTCATCGTGGCTGCTTGGATCATACCAACCAAGTGACTTGGCCCCTTCTTTTTCCCTTCTCCTCTCCACTCTTCTCTCTTCTCAGACCACCCTGGGTCTAGCCATCGAAATGGTACCTCTCCTCTCTGCCAGCACAGGCCTGGTGGTGGCGGGTGTGACTATAGCGGGCACCACCGGTATTAGCACGGCCAGAACCCTCCTGGACCAGTGGAAGGTACGAGAGTGGGAGGGGGGACGGGTGTGGGTTGATAGGGAAATGACACGTCGGGTTGTGTGGGTTATAGGGCGGGTGTGACAATAGCGGGTGGGCACCCCTGGTCCAGTGGAAGGTACAAGTGGAGAGGGGGAAGGAGGGAGATATTTGGGATGGAGAGCACGGGTGTGACTATAGAGGGCACCACCGGTATCCACAGGGCCAGAAACCTCCTCGACAAGTGGAAGGCACAAGGGTGGGGGGATGCACAGGATGGGTGTGGCTAGAGCAGGACTAGAACGGAATGGTCTGCATTCTAGTGCGACGCAACTCACCAGTATTAGCATTGAGAGGATGCTGCGTTACACCTCACAGCAGTTTTAGCGTGGCACTGTTTTGAGTCGACTCAAAACATGCCACTCAAAACACACCCCTCACACACAAACGACACTCTCCCCTCTCTCCACTTCTCTCCTTCCCCCATCAGGTGCGGGACGCCATTCACAGGGGCCTGGCGGTGGGCATTGCCTCTCACTCCCTCGGCACCTCTGCTCTGGTACGCCTCACAAACGTCGTACCCACCTAGATGCTTCTGAGGTGCCTTACAAAAGAAATGACTGTTGGAGTCCCTTGAAAGAAATGGTGTTACCTCTCACTCCCTCGGCACCTCTGCTCCGGTACGCCTCTCATGGTCTTCATGGCACGAAGTCGGTCAGCAGTGGAGTTTTGACTTGTCCAAAAGCAGTCGCCGCCCACCTTTGACTTGTCTAAATGCACTCGTCACCCGGTTTCGCGTTCTGTAAAAGCAGGCAATATTGTTTGTTGCCTGATGTTTGTCCGTTTCCCTATTGCCGTTTCTCCTGTTTTCAGGTTGCTGAGGAGCCACGCTCTGCTGCAGGTATGATGGTGGTGTTGACTGGTACGGTAGTAGTGAGGCAGGTGTACAGGTGTTGTCTGGTGCAGGTGTTGACTGGTGCAGGTATGAATTTTGCAGGTATGTAATAGACCCACCAGCCTCACTGAGCAGGGTAAGTTCCAAAAATGCAACTATTTCTGTAGTGTGTCGTGTGGTGTTTGCTATCAATGGCATGCTCATCATTATCCCTCATCACCATCCCCATGTCCTTTTGAGTCGACTCAAAGGTCACCTCGTTTGCAGGGCATTTTTTAGAATTCCCAAAAATACCTTGAGTCGACTCAAAAGTCACCTCATTTACACTTCCCTTTACCCGTCTTCCCCTGTATCCCTCCCTGCTCCTCTCCCCATCCCCCTCCTCCCATGCAGTGTCAGGCCTGGCCTTTGCTCTAAAGGGCACACTCAGCATCATCCTCATTTCCATCCCTGCCTTCCGGATTGCCCTGCTCCAATTGGCCGGCACTGCCTGATTTGCTTGGAGTACAGTGCCATTTCATTTTTATTCAGTTATGGCTTTGTTTTGCTCCTTCAATTCTTGGATGTCTTTTATCTAGAGTGCATCCGAAAAAAGGCGCTTGCATTTACCATACCAGATTATGGAATGAAAAGAGCGTTTCTCTTGGTTGAACTCCAACCAAGGCAGTAAACAGAACCAATCAAATCAGTATATGTTATCAAATCATGAGATGCAAGCATGAAAACGGTAGTTCATAAGCATAAAACAGAAAGTAAAAGATTATCAAGCTATTTGAGGCAGGTTGGTGCTTTTAAGGAGTAAAATCAGCGTGTGTGTATCTGCATCTATACTGAATCTATCACCTGTTTCTGCCACTGCAGCGCTAGCAAATGCTTGTTGTGCTACTACGTAGGGCTTGGTGTTGCTGCAGCCGCCGCAGCAGCAGCTGGTGTGGCAGTAGCAGCACTTGGGGTGGCAGTAGCAGTAGCAGTAGCAGAGGCTGCAGCAGGCAGAGCTGAAGCAACGGCTGTAGCAGGCTGGGCACAAGGGACAGCTGTAGCAGCAGCAGCAGGAGGTATGGCTGTATCAGGGCTAGCAGGACTTGTGGCTGAAGCAGGATCAACAGGAAGTACAGATGTAGCAGGGCCAGTACAAGGCACGGCTGTAGCAGGGCCAGTACAAGGCACGGCTGTACCAGGTCCGGCAGGAGATACTGCTGTAGCAGAACCAGGAAGAGGCAAGGCCGTAGCAGTTGGGTTGCTGGTAGCAGCAAGACCTCCTGTAGCCACGGCTGCTACAGTCACAGTTGCTGTTGCACCAGTTACACCAGCAGCAGCAGCAGTGGCGGCTACATCTGTAGCATTTGTCACAGTTGTAGCACCAACAGTCATGGTTGCAGAAGACGGCAGGGATGTAAGACCAGGCAGGGTTGCATCCCCTCCACCAGGCACAGTAGTAGCGGCACCAGGCACACTCGCACCACCTGCCATCATTGTCGTGTGTGCCACAGGTGTAAAAAGACTATGTCTAGGAGCCACCCCTGGCGGGCTTCGCAACATCGAGGGTAATTTACCCAACTTACCCACACCCACATTTTGAGCCGCCTCTGCACCAGGGCTCGCCCTGGGTGGAGTCACTAATATTCTGGGTGATTTACCCATCGGAGATGTGCTGGGTGGGCTTCTAGCACCGGAAAGGGCGCTGGGACTAGGAAGAAGGGGAATGCTACTAGCAGTGAGCCTGGGGCTGGGAACTTGCGGTGTGCTACCAGCCAGCCTAGGACTGGGAATGCGAGGCAGCCTAAGAAGGTTGGGAAGGTTGGGAACCCTGCTGGGACTGACAACAGCTGGAGATGCACCAGCAGCCGCGGCAGCAGTAGCAGCAACATTAGCAGCAGCAGTGCTGTGAGGTGCGGTGTTGTGAGGTGTGGTGCTGTGAGGTGCGGTGTTGTGAGGTGTGGTGCTGTGAGGTGCGGTGTTGTGAGGTGTGGTGCTGTGAGGTGTGATGTTGCGAGGTACAGTGGTAAGCAAAGGAAGCACCAGGGCAGGTGGTTGCCGATTAGGCAGCAGCAGCTGTTGCTGTGGTGGTTGCTGATGGTGCTGCTGTTGCTGTTGCTGCTGCTGCTGTTGCTGCTGCTGCTGCTGCTGCTGCTGCTGCTGCTGCTGCTGCTGCTGCTGCTGCTGCTGCTGCTGCTGCTGCTGCTGCTGCTGTTGCTGTTGCTGTTGCTGTTGCTGTTGCTGAAACTGCTGGTGCGGCTGTGGTGGGTGCTGGTGCGGTGGTGGTGGGTGCTGGTGCGGTGGTGGGGGGTGCTGGTGCGGTTGTGGTGTGTGCTGGTGCGATGGTGGTGGGTGCTGGCGCGGTGGTGGAGGGTGCTGGTGCGGTGGTGGTGGGTGCTGATGCGGTGGTGGTGGGTGCTGGTGCGGTGGTGGTTGCTGTGGCTGTCTCGGCACTAAGAGAGGAGGAATCTTCAGCAGCGGTTGCTCAGAACGTCTCAGTTGACTTTGTTGACTCAGTTGACTGGGTTGATTGGGTTGAGTGGGTTGACTGGGTTGACTCGACTGTATGGGTTGACTGAAATGGCTCGGTTGACTAGGTTGACTGAAATGGCTTGGTTGACTGGGTTGACTGGGTGGGTCAGAAACCCTAGGCAACTGCAGCAGCGATGCCAAGGACTGTGAAAGCTGACCTGTCACACCCGCTTGCTGATCTGTCAAGGGCGCCTGCTGACCTGTCCAGTTCCTAGGCTGACCTGTCACAAGGGGGTTCGACGCCTGGTTGGTATATGCGGGGTTGGAGTGTGGTTGGGTTGTGTTTGTTGAGGTGGTGTGTGGTTGGGTGGTGTATTGGGGAGTTTTTAGCTGCTGTTGTGTGGAAGACTGCGGGAAAAGCTGCTGCTTCTGCTGCTGCGGACTCGAAGGCTGGAAGATAGGTTGTGGCTGCTGCTGATGCGCCTGTTGCTGCTGATAATAATAATTATGTTGCTGCTGCTGCGGCTGCTGCTGCGGCTGCTGCTGCTGCTGCTGCTGCTGCTGCTGATGTGTTGGTTGCTGCTGGTAGTAATAATTCTGTTGCTGTTGTTGCGGCTGCTGCTGATGGGGAGGAGGAGCAGGAGGGGTATGGTTAGAAGGAGGATGAGTAATGGGAGGAGGAAGAGGAGGATGAGCAGGAGCAGGAGGAGGAGGAGGAGGCAATAGCGGTGTGGGTGGAAGACTGTAGCTGTGTGACAGGTTTGCTGGGTATTGTTGTTGGGTGACTGTGTGTGTGTGCTGCTGCTGCTGCTGCTGCTGCTGCTGCTGGTTTCCCAGGTTGACTTGCTGCTGCTGTTGGCTGTAGGACTGGTTTCCAAGCTGTTGCTGCTGGGTCTGTGAGTGTGAAATTGGCTGATAGGCAGGAATCAGCACATAAGCTTGCTGATGGGAAGATTGGGGAGAGTAGTATTGTGGCTGGTACTGCTGCTGTTGCTGTGGCTGCTGCTGTGGCTGCTGCTGTTGCTGCTGCTGTTGCTGCTGCTGCTGCTGCTGTCGGTACTGCTGCTGCTGCTGCGGTTGCTGCTGCTGCTGCTGCTGCTGCTGTTGCTGCTGCTGCTGTTGCTGCTGCTGCTGTTGCTGCGGTTGCTGCTGCTGCTGCTGCTGCTGTTGCAGCGGTTGTTGGTGCTGTGGTTGTTGCGGCTGCGGTTGCTGCTGCTGCTGCATATACATTTGCTGGTGCTGCTGCAGCTGCTGCTGCAGCGTTGAACAAGCAGCAGCAACAGCGGAAAGAGGATCAGGAGGAGCAGAAGAAGCACCAGGGGGGGCGAATGCTGGGGGCAGCGAGGCGGAAGGGGAAGGAGCAGGAGGAGAAGCGAGAGAAGGGTGAGCAGCAGGAGGAAGCAGGGCAGGAGTAGCCTGGGCGCCACCAGCAGAAGTGGGAGCAGAACAGTTAGCATCAAAAGCAGCACCAGCAGCGCCACCAGCACATGCACCAGCAGCAGCAGCACAGGGAGCAGCACAGTTAGCATCAAAAGCAGCACCAGCAGCACCAGCAACGCCAACACCAGCGCCAGCAGCACCACCAGCAAATGCACCAGCTGCAGCAGCATCACCAGCATCACCAGCATCACCAGCAGCAGCAGTGTTGCACATCCAGGGTACGAGCATGTTAATCCGCTCCTGCAGCTGGGCCTGCATCGTCTCTATCTCCAGCTTCAGCGCTGCCTTTTCCTGCCGCAGCTCTGACTTCTCACTGCCCAGCTGGAGGGCACAGGGGTACAAGATGGGGGAGTGTGTACAAGCGTGTTGATCAGTTCTCTCCTGCAGCTGAGCTGGGCCTGCATCGTCTCAATCTCCAGCTTCAGCGCTGCATTTTCCTGCCGCAGCTCCGACCTCTCACTGCCCAGCTCGAAAGAAGAGGGAAAGGGGCGGCGTGTGTGAGTGAGGGGGCGGGGTGGGAAGGAGGGCACGAGGGTGTTGGTACATTCGCTCCTGCAGCTGCGCCTGTATGCTCTCTGTCCCCATCTTCACTGCTGCTTTCTCCTGCTGCAGCTCTGAATCCTCACTGCCTAGCTGGAAGGCAAAGAAGGTGATGCGGACAAGGAGGGGGGAGGAGGGCACACACACGCGTGTTGATCAACCCTCTCCTGCAGCTACGCCGCCTGTATGCTCTCTGTCCCGATCTTCACTGCTGCTTTCTCCTGCCGCAGCTCCGAAGTCTCTGACCCGAGCTGGAGAGCAAAGGAAGGGTAATGCAAAGGGGCCATGAGGAGAGGAAATGGGGGAGCACATTGCACAGAATTTGCTCCTGCCGCTGAATCGCATATAACCATGTTGCACCGCGCCATAACGCTGTGCACCGCACAGCACCCATCTCTTTGGACTCATCCAACAAGGCGGAGTGGTCGGAGCGCAATCGGCTGACGCTCTAAGCTGCCACAGCATCACCAAGCCATTGCCCAGAATGGGTGCGCCTTAACCACGTTCAACCGTCCACCACCATGCAGTACCGCAGTGAACCCACCCACCTCTTTGGACTCGTCCAGCAGAACAGAGTGGTCGGAGCACAATCGGCACACGTTGAGCCGTAGCTGCCACAGCATCACCACGCCATCGCCCAGAATGGTGTGTGCTGCACCGCATGCTACAGCTCACCACTGTGCCGCGCTGAGCCTGAGCTGTCGCAGTATCACCACGCCATCGCCCAGAATGGTGTGTGCTGCACCGCATGCTACAGCTCACCACTGTGCCGCGCTGAGCCTGAGCTGTCGCAGCATCACCACGCCATCGCCCAGAATGGTGTGTGCTGCACCGCATGCTACAGCTCACCACTGTGCCGCGCTGAGCCTGAGCTGTCGCAGCATCACCACGCCATCGCCCAGAATGGTGTGTGCTGTACCGCATGCTACAGCTCACCACTGTGCCGCGCTGAGCCTGAGCTGTCGCAGCATCACCACGCCATCGCCCAGAATGGTGTGTGCTGCACCGCATGCTACAGCTCACCACTGTGCCGCGCTGAGCCTGAGCTGTCGCAGCATCACCACGCCATCGCCCAGAATGGTGTGTGCTGCACCGCATGCTACAGCTCACCACTGTGCCGCGCTGAGCCTGAGCTGTCGCAGCATCACCACGCCATCGCCCAGAATGGTGTGTGCTGCACGGCATGCTACAGCTCACCACTGTGCCGCGCTGAGCCTGAGCTGTCGCAGCATCACCACGCCATCGCCCAGAATGGTGTGTGCTGCGCCGCATGCTACAGCTCACCACTGTGCCGCGCTGAGCCTGAGCTGACGCAGCATCACCACGCCATCGCCCAGAATGGTGTGTGCTGCACCGCATGCTACAGCTCACCACTGTGCCTCGCTGAGCCTGAGCTGTCGCAGCATCACCACGCCATCGCCCAGAATGGTGTGTGCTGTACCGCATGCTACAGCTCACCACTGTGCCGCGCTGAGCCTGAGCTGTTGCAGCATCACCACGCCATCGCCCAGAATGGTGTGTGCTGCACATAATGCTACAGCTCACCACTGTGCCGCGCTGAGCCTGAGCTGTCGCAGCATCACCACGCCATCGCTCAGAATGGTGTGTGCTGCACCGCATGCTACAGCTCACCACTGTGCCGCACTGAGCCTGAGCTGTCGCAGCATCACCACGCCATCGCCCAGAATGGTGTGTGCTGCACCGCATGCTACAGCTCACCACTGTGCCGCGCTGAGCCTGAGCTGTCGCAGCATCACCACGCCATCGCCCAGAATGGTGTGTGCTGCACCGCATGCTACAGCTCACCACTGTGCCGCGCTGAGCCTGAGCTGTCGCAGCATCACCACGCCATCGCCCAGAATGGTGTGTGCTGTACCGCATGCTACAGCTCACCACTGTGCCGCGCTGAGCCTGAGCTGTCGCAGCATCACCACGCCATCGCCCAGAATGGTGTGTGCTGCACCGCATGCTACAGCTCACCACTGTGCCGCGCTGAGCCTGAGCTGTCGCAGCATCACCACGCCATCGCCCAGAATGGTGTGTGCTGCACCGCATGCTACAGCTCACCACTGTGCCGCGCTGAGCCTGAGCTGTCGCAGCATCACCACGCCATCGCCCAGAATGGTGTGTGCTGCACGGCATGCTACAGCTCACCACTGTGCCGCGCTGAGCCTGAGCTGTCGCAGCATCACCACGCCATCGCCCAGAATGGTGTGTGCTGCACCGCATGCTACAGCTCACCACTGTGCCGCGCTGAGCCTGAGCGGACGCAGCATCACCACGCCATCGCCCAGAATGGTGTGTGCTGCACCGCATGCTACAGCTCACCACTGTGCCGCGCTGAGCCTGAGCTGTCGCAGCATCACCACGCCATCGCCCAGAATGGTGTGTGCTGTACCACATGCTACAGCTCACCACTGTGCCGCGCTGAGCCTGAGCTGTTGCAGCATCACCACGCCATCGCCCAGAATGGTGTGTGCTGCACCGCATGCTACAGCTCACCACTGTGCCGCGCTGAGCCTGAGCTGTCGCAGCATCACCACGCCATCGCCCAGAATGGTGTGTGCTGCACCGCATGCTACAGCTCACCACTGTGCCGCACTGAGCCTGAGCTGTCGCAGCATCACCACGCCATCGCCCAGAATGGTGTGTGCTGCACCGCATGCTACAGCTCACCACTGTGCCGCGCTGAGCCTGAGCTGTCGCAGCATCACCACGCCATCGCCCAGAATGGTGTGTGCTGCACCGCATGCTACAGCTCACCACTGTGCCACGCTGAGCCTGAGCTGTCGCAGCATCACCACGCCATCGCCCAGAATGGTGTGTGCTGTACCGCATGCTACAGCTCACCACTGTGCCGCGCTGAGCCTGAGCTGTCGCAGCATCACCACGCCATCGCCCAGAATGGTGTGTGCTGCACGGCATGCTACAGCTCACCACTGTGCCGCGCTGAGCCTGAGCTGTCGCAGCATCACCACGCCATCGCCCAGAATGGTGTGTGCTGCACCGCATGCTACAGCTCACCACTGTGCCGCGCTGAGCCTGAGCTGTCGCAGCATCACCACGCCATCGCCCAGAATGGTGTGTGCTGCACGGCATGCTACAGCTCACCACTGTGCCGCGCTGAGCCTGAGCTGTCGCAGCATCACCACGCCATCGCCCAGAATGGTGTGTGCTGCACCGCATGCTACAGCTCACCACTGTGCCGCGCTGAGCCTGAGCTGTTGCAGCATCACCACGCCATCGCCCAGAATGGTGTGTGCTGCACCGCATGCTACAGCTCACCACTGTGCCGCGCTGAGCCTGAGCTGTCGCAGCATCACCACACCATCGCCCAGAATGGTGTGTGCTGCACCGCATGCTACAGCTCACCACTGTGCCGCACTGAGCCTGAGCTGTCGCAGCATCACCACGCCATCGCCCAGAATGGTGTGTGCTGCACCGCATGCTACAGCTCACCACTGTGCCGCGCTGAGCCTGAGCTGTCGCAGCATCACCACGCCATCGCCCAGAATGGTGTGTGCTGCACCGCATGCTACAGCTCACCAGTGCCGCGCTGAGCCTGAGCTGTCGCAGCATCACCACGCCATCGCCCAGAATGGTGTGTGCTGCACCGCATGCTACCGTGTGCCACACCGCATTGTACCGCTGCATACTGCACTGCACCCACCTCTTTTGATTCATCTAGGAGAGCAGTGTGGTCGGAGCGCAGACGAGACACGCTGAGCCTGAGCTGTCGCAGCATCACCAAGCCATCGCCCAGAATGGTCGCCTTGTCGTTCTTCGGCCGCTCGGGGTCTGCACTTTTGCGTGTGCATGTCATGTCATGTCATGTCATGTCATGTCATGTGTGCATCCCATGCCACCCATGCGTAAATGTCATGTCACGCCACGCCATGCCATGCAGTATAGGAACCGAAAACGATGCGGAGAGGACAAGAGACAACGGTTAAAATGAGGATCATGGCGGGTGGGGGCTGGAAAGAGGGGAAAGGGGGAGGGGGAAGAGGGGAAATGGGAGGGGGAGAAGGAAAGGGGGCCAAGGATCGGACAGTAAGCGGGGATTCAAACGGGAATGTCGGAAAGGGAAGTGAGAGGAGAAACCGAAAGCAGGGTAGGGCAATGGATGGGACGGCATGCAAGCTCGCATGCTTCACTATACACCTAACCTGCGCCAATTTCAACACCTGGGCCCCGAGTCGCGTTATTGTCGTTTTGCCATCGGGTTGAAATTGGAGGGGACAGAAAAAGTTCCCTCCAATTTCAACACTCCTACGGAAGATATATTGGTTTCTAATTGTTCTGAACTTTGTTAGAGCGGTTCTGATCGGTTTTGTTTATCCGAATGATGTTGCTTGGACCGAACCGCGCTCGCTCCAGGACCACAGGTGGAGACAAAAGTGTTGAAATTGGGGGGGGGTTTAAGTTGGCGCGGGTTAGGTGTAGTTTGCGTGCTTCGCAAATATCTAGACTTGCTCCAGTTTCCGCAGACTCATCGCGGAGGCGCAGGGAAGGGGGAATGCGGAAATGGGATGGGGAGAAGTGTGAAAACGGGGAAGGCGGAAGGGGAAACGAGACGCGCTCAGAAACCCAGCGCGCTGACGTGATCCAATCCGAGGGGAAGAAGCGGCTCAGCGACGGGGGAACGGAATGCGCGGAAGCGGAAAGGCGCATAGTAGGGGGGAGGGGACGCACTCAGCACGCCCACGAGCTCCGCGGGAAAGCGGGAAAGCGGAAAAGCGGGAAAGCGGGAAAGCGGGAAAGCGGGAAAGAGGAAAAGCGGGAAAGCGGGAAAGCGTGAAAACGGGAAAGCGGAAAGCGGGTAGGCGGGAAAGCGGGAAAGCTGGAAAGCGGAAAAGCGGGAAAAATAGAAAGCGGGAAAACGGGAACGAGAGGGCGGAAAAGGAAGCGAGACGCACTGAGCACGGTCGCGAGCTCCGCGAATTGGTCGTTGAGGCGGTCGCGGCGCAGCTTCTCGCGGTCCGCCTTGTGCACCTTGCGCATACTCGTCATAGTCGACCCCGTTTGTGACACCAAACCACGGTGGATTTTGCCGGCTGCGCCACTTCCGCCTAAACCTGCTCCCGCCTCAGCGGACGCTGCCGCCAGCCCTCCGCCAGCGCCGGCGCAATATCTCTCCGCCCCGCCCACCGCCGCGCCCACCGCCGCTCCCCTCTTCCCCGCGATTTTATCTGCGGAGATCCCCGCCGATTCCGAGTCAGCGTCGCCGCTGGGGTAACGCGCCGCGGTCGGACCCGCCGTCTGTCCCCAGAGAGCGCTGGCGAAATCGCGCGTCGCCCCTGACGCCCCCCACTCCGGCGGCCCGGCAGCAAACACGCCGTGGGTTTCACCGTGAAGCCCGCCGCTGATCGCGCCGTCGCGGAACTCAATCCGCGAGGACTCTCTCTCCCCGCAACCGCCGGCTCCGCCTGCTGGTCCCATTAGGTTCAGCGCGACACTCGGCGGCGAATGCGGCGGTGAATGTGGCGGCTCCACTGCGCCGTCCACGCGGGTTTTCTTTCCTCCTCCTTCTCCCCCTCCTCCGCCGCCGGCGCCGCCGCAATCCCCGCCGCCGCCGCCGCCGATCGAGCAGAGGCCGTCCGAAAAGCCGTATGAGCCACGATCGACGGAGCTGGTGCCGCCAGTTGCGCCGGAGACGCCGCTCGTTGCGGCCGCGCCAGCAGCGCTGCCGTCCTTACTGCCGCCGTAAGCACAACTACTGAAAAAGTAGCAGCCACGGCCGCCCCCACTTCCGCCGCCACTTTCGCCGCCAATATCGCCGCCGCAGCCGCCGTCCGCCGAAGTCGGTCCCATTATCTCCGTGGATACCCACTAACGCGTATATATTGTGTCATGCGGTCACGGGCCAGTAACCGCCCAGATTTTGACCGAGAATCCGGGCAGGAAAAACCGCCACGTGCGAAAATACGGATACTTTTGAAGTTGTGCCGGGCAAATACCGCTTCGAACTACGATATTGTCATCATAGGATCGCAGCCGTTGGTCCCAATGTCCCGAAGCGCCTTTGGATCGGACGCGACACAACTTACCCGCCGACTTATAGGAATTCCGGCAAAATTTGAGTGTTTGTAACAGTTGAAAGCTCTCGTACTGAAGCAAAAGCTTGCGGAAGAGGGGATGCTGTAGTAGCAGCTGTGAAGTATCAGCGTCGCGCTCTTTCTAGGGAAGAATCAACGGCGCGCGCTACAATTTCTTTCCACGGATTAACGGCTGTCGTTTCCCGTCGCACACGAACTCTGTCTCATCAACAGATCGCGCGGACGTTCAATAATGACTCATTAACAGATCTCGGAGATGTTTTCAGTCGCAGAGGAGGAATCTAAGAAAAGCTTACAAGAGACGGACATAAGTTACACCTCCCTTCGAAGAGGCCATTATCAGACGTCACGATAATGAGAAAAAGAAAACGTTGGACATCTCCAAATTAGTCGTGGAGGAGAAAAAGGGCAGACGGTTATTCGGGACTAGGCAGAAAGACCTCTTTTCGCGTGTCTATCCCAGCAGGTGCCCTCTGTTGCCGCTGCGATGGAGCAACAGGACATGGCGCCAGGGACTCGGAGCACTGGCCTACGGACATGCTTTAGTTCAGGACAGGGAGGGATGAGGGTGGATGGATAAGGAGCGAGGTGTGTGAGAACGAGAAGACAAACGGGTTACGGGACCGTCAAAGCGCGATGGGCGCGTGCGCGGACAATGGCCACACGCGAGCTTCTGCGCGCCCGCTCCTCGCTGCCGGAGCCGCGGAGCCACAGTTGCTGGCGCGGCCACGCGCGCGGGCGCAGCCGCTTCGGCGGAAACAGGCTCGCTCGCAACGCAACTCCTACATGCGGGCAACTGGGCTTGGGCGCACGTGAGGCCAATCTGCTCCACGCAATTGCCGCCCGCCCAAATATCACGCACGCGCGTCATTTCGGCCTTAGTCCCACGCCAAGCCGGAGGTTGTTGGCCTGATCTGCCTACCGGACCTAGCTTACTTGACGAGCCTACGCTGCGGCGTACGAAGCTGTCGTCTAGTAAACAGGACAAGGGTCTGTCTATGTTCATATGGAGCTGCCTGAAACGACCGCTGCCGAACCGACCCCAGTCAGGTTCACAAGGACAAGAGGAGGCATCATCGCGCACCAGGCATCCGGTCAGGCAGGCAGCACCTAAACCCTAGGTTGCGGGTCGCGGCAGCGCGGAGCGAGGGGACGGTAGCCAGGCACCGCACGGGAGAAACGGGAGGAGGTGAGAGCGGCGGGAGTAGAAAATACTCAAGGGGGGAGATGAAAGAAAGAAGAGAGAGGCCAGGCGGAAGGGATGTGGTGGGCTGGGGGGAAGGAAGTGGGAGAGCCTTGTACAAATCGGCACGGTGGGAGGGAGGGAGTGAAACAGTTCAGGCGGGGCGGAGGAGACGATGTTCGAATCGATTGATCGCTACTGCACCTGATGCTCGTTTGGGTCTCCCATACCTGGGTTGTGCTATGGGCTTATAAGTGATTTTGTGCATTTCGACCAGTTCGCGGAGTTTCGCCAGGGTCTCAAAGTGCTTTTAAAAAACACATGTTGTAACACGTTTGATTTTTCCCGCACAGTGCTGGCTCGCAAGCCTTGTTGGGTGTTCGTGGACCTGGTTACTACCGATTTTTCACTTCATCATTGCATGCGATTACAAAACATCTTCCGCCCTGTCACAAACACTCTCTCCCAACCATCCCGCCAATAAACAAGCCACACCTGTACCCATGCAATGTCCATGTCATTGCTACACGAGTCTTAGGAGGAGACGAACACTCCTCAAATGGGTCTCAAGCTCTCAAAGTCGCATCCACTCGGCGGCATCCAGGTAGCCGCCCATAACAGCGGGCGCCCCTGCGTCAATGAGCTGCTGGCGGCGAGCCGCCTGCTGAGCCAGCGTGACCCACTCTGGGGTCGGCTCCGTCATCTACGCCAGCAGCACACGCCAACGGCGACGAGGTGTCTCAGCCGGCGCGGTGGCGCCAAGGGGCATTGCGGGAGGAGGCGTGCTGTTCAGATTAAGAGTCGGGCTTGCGCGCTCCATCCGGGCCCTGATGATGGGGTTGCGGATGTCGAACATTGCGTAGCGGTCACGTGGGGCGATGCCGGTGGCCCTCGCGTAGCCAATAAGCATCTCGCTTGCAGCGCGTGTGTAGCGCCGTGCCTCGCGGGTGGCCAAATTGCCGTCGTCGTAGACGGCTTGCATGCTGGCCGAGGCCTCCCACATCTCGGCATGCGGCGCAGACGGCGGCTCAGTCGCCAGCGGAATATGGCCCAGTTTTGCGCAAGTCGGCTGGTTGTCATCGATGCGCACGAAGTCCCCAGCTGGCATCGTGGCTAACCCAAGGCCGAGACGATCGATGAGAATCCCCACGTCGCCCTCGGCCTCATCCAGCTCGGTGATGGCGGCGCCGTTGCCGCCGTTGCCCACGTGCTCAAGTTCCATTACCCAAGCATGCGGCAGGCACTCGGTGCACCACCAGCACCATTCTATTCTTCGACGCTCGATCTTCATCCAAGCATCGCACAGCCAGGCCAGCACATTGCGGAGGTTCGGCTTGTACCGAGCCATCGCGGACGTTGCGCCGTCCGCTGACTACAGCGAAGTGAAGGCGCTCAGCCAATGCGCACGGTATCGCGCCTTCGTCGTAGCAATGATCCCCTGATCGAGGGGCTGGGTGAAGGCCGTGGTGTTCGGTGGCAGGTACACGATGCAGACGTTGCTAAGCTTGCGCGTGCGGAAGCCAAAGAGGTCCTCCGACTCGGCCTCTTCCGCACGTGGCTGTTCGCATTGTCCATCAAAATAACAATGTGACGGTCCTCGGTGTACATGGCAGCATTAATTTTCCCTAAACCCTAAGCCCGAACCCGGTCGACAGGGCTTGTATTGTGCTACACGTCCATGATTTGGCATCTTCCAGACCAAATGCCACTTGTTATAAGGGCTTATACACGGGGTGCAACTGCCCGGAAAAAAAACACCGGGTGCGGTGTTTCTAAAATGTCCAAGCAAAATTCGCGGGCATGGGCTGGGCATCATGTGTATGGGTGTACAGTTTTACAGTCGTGTGGAGGAGAGCGCGTGCACGTGCGACAAGACCGGCCATTGGATCCGATTTCCTACGGTCCATAAAAGTCGTGACGTGGTTGGATGGATGCTTGAAAGAGGCGGTCGCATGGATGTCGTTGGATTGGATAGGAACTTCGGAATTCTCTCCAACGGTGAGGGAAGGCGGTGGTGGGGTGTGGTTGGGACGGAGAGGGGGAAGAGGAGGTTTGTTGCGCTTGCTTAGTCGGGCGGAGAGCATCTCCGCCCTCACCTCACCGCACCCACAGACGCGTTGCGGGGAATTGACTTGGGGCGGCGGATGCGCAGCGCAGGGAGAAGCCGCTTTGGCTTGGTGAGCTGTGATTGGTTGTGTGCTGGCGAGTTGGCAGCAGCCGATGTAAGGGGAGAACAGTAGGGACAAAATGGTGGGGTCGAGCAACCTTCGTTTTGTTGACCACATGGAGAATTTTGTGCAAACCAGTTGGGATGAAGTCGTTAGGACGCGTCACAATTGCAAAACCGAACCTGTTTAGGTTCGATGTTCTCATTCTACAGTGAGTTCGCTAATTGGTGAAAAATATGTATCCCTGTTTCGCTTATCTTTACGCGAAGATCGTGAACTTGCAGATTGACGAGATCGTATGGCTCGAAATGCGACATTGATCGTGCGATTGGCAGCGCGGGAAACGAAATCGAGCCACCAGTGTCAGCCACGATCGATCGCAGTCGCATATGGTCGGTCACTTTCGATGTGGTAACAGGGCGACATCACAAATTGTCGGTGGACGACATCATGACAATGAAACATTATCGCCTTGCGCGTCGTCACAACCCAGACGAAACTGTACGACACGCCAGCGAACCACGGCACCTGCGCTAGAAGCTGGCTGTACACTTGCAAATCTGGTCATATCCCACTTGGCTCGGAGAAGCAGCCTAACACTGCTCATGCAGATTGAAACCCATTTTTTCATACGCGATGCACACATTTTCGGTGTTCGGTCCCGATCCTCCCCGGTGTTGCAATTGTGACGCGTCCTTAGGGCGTGTGTGATTCTTACCGAACGGTTCGTCACGGTAGGATACAGTTAGAAATTTTTGCCACGGCACAGAGCGGTTTGAGTTCGAACTTTGTCAGGTTCGGCAAAATCACACACCCCCTTAGAATATATGCAACCCTGGACTGTACACGTAGTTCACAGAGTGCACGTAAAATAAAGATTAACGAGAATGTGACTCAATGAATTGACAATACAATGAAGGCACGCGCAAATACAGTGACTAGCCAAGCTAAGAGGGAACCTCGGGGATGCGAGGTTGGGTGCAGGTTTGGCGATCAGAAAACCGAAGGCGATGCGGAGTAGCCTCGAAATCGTGAATGTCGGCCGAAAATGTGAAGTCCGAAATGTCGGGGTTACAAGCGTAGCTCACCAAGAAAGGTGGTCAATATCCGCAGCTCACTTGCGGGCGAGGTAATCACCAAGAAGCGGGGAAGCTTCAGACGAGGCGAATGGCACCCAAGTGTCGTCTTCACTTGTGCGGTTAGTCCAACGAATGCAAAAATCCACATGGCGGCTAGAGGCATCGAGCCGAACATGATGTGCCAAAAATTTCGATGGGTCGAGTGTTGGTTTTGGGGTAGCGTGAGTTGTCGGGGCGGCGTTTTGGCGAGCAATATCTATCGTGGCAGGCACAAACTGTGAAGGAGGCTGACATGAAAAGTGTCGTGGACACGCCAGTCGTCTGGTAGCAGCAGCTTCGCGGTGAAAGGTGTCACCATATGGATTGATACAATCTGAACCGTCTCATAGGATCGTCTCAGGTTGATTGCACCGAAGTGTAGCTGCGGAAGATTGCTAGGTAATGTTGGGTACGGACTATGTCAGAAGAGGGAGATTTGAATCTCGACAGAAGTGACTAATACAATGCGGTACAAGGGTTTATATAGGAATACAGTGGAATACGGAAGTTCCTAGCTAGCCATGTACTATGAGGGAATACATTCCCCTTAGGGCTAATCTAGGTGTAGGTTTGCAACCGTGCGATTCGAGGACCGTACGCGGTCCGATAACCGTTTGAAGTTTTCTCGCTCTTTTCATTACGAGTTCTTCCTGCTTGTAACTGTCTTGTCGCTTGGTCTTTCGTCCTCGCTGCAGTCATCTTCGCGTTAAGGATTCGTTACTTAGGAATGTTTATTCAACTATTCCATATCGTAACGCTTCTTTTCATTCCTGGAGTGGCGAAGTCTTGACTGTCAGAGGTCCACTGGGGATCCCCGATGATCCTAGGGAAGGGTTACAGGCACGTCGGCCTGGGGGGTTATGGGCGCACTCACCCGCTATATAAACAAGCCCTTTTATCCCAGTGGTTAGTGACTGGGATTCTGACATGGTATCAGAGCGAAGGTCTCGGGTTCGATTCCCGGTGTGTGCACTTCGGGCATCCCAGTGCGGGGGGGTGTCAGAGGTCCACTGGGGATCCCCGATGATCCTAGGGAAGGGTTACAGGCACGTCGGCCTGGGGGGTTATGGGCGCACTCACCCGCTATATAAACAAGCCCTTTTATCCCAGTGGTTAGTGACTGGGATTCTGACATTGACGCGCTTGGTTATGCCGCAAATGTTTCCGCAGTGGTGATACTGCTGACGTAGTAGCTTCTTGGTGAGGATATCGGATGCCATGTCACCAGTGGGGCAGCAAGTCAAGATGACTTTGCCTTTGTCAACTTCGTCTTTGACGAAGAAGTAGCGGAGTGCGATATGCTTTTGATTGCGCTTTGGTCGTCGCAATTTTTGCCTCCTGGAGTAGCTCTTGGAGGTAGAGAGGTTCGCGAATGGGTAATGTTGCTGCGAAGAATTCGGCTTCGGTAGAGGAGAGCGCTACCATTTCTTGCTTCTGGGAGTTCCAAGAAATGGGACCAGTGGGCTCGAGGCGGAAGAGGAAGTCAGTTCGGGACCGTCGATTTGCAGGGTCAGCGGCGTGATCTGCGTCCACGTATCCAACGAGGCTGAATGAGCGAGTCGTGAGGGTGGAGTAGGTGAGGCCAATGTGCGGTATGGAGATGAAGTATTGCAGGGCGCACTGTAGATCCAGCATATGCTCCCCTTCAGGCCGCTTGGCATACTGAGCGAGTTGGCTTGAGGTGTAGGACAAGTCAGGCCTGAACGTGACAGCGGCGAAGAGAAGGCAGCCGAGTTGCTGCTGGTACATTTGGTGTGCGGAGGGGTTGAGCGGGTTGGTGAGGATGGTGGTATGGGTTGCTGGGGTGCGAGAAGGAGTGGAGAAGTTGGCTGGCTTGATGTTGAACTTGGCGGAGAGAATTTCGGCGTATTTTGCTGCGGAGAGATGGTTTGCATGCGGCGGCGTAGGAGATGTTGAGACCCAGGAATTGGGTCACCGTGTGGTTGCTGGTGATTTCGACGCGGTTGCTGAGGTTTTTTTCGAACTTTGCGAGGAGGTCGTTGCTGGTGCCTATGTAGAGCAGATCATCCACGTACGCCGTGAGAAGAATGTAATCGCCGCGATAGTGGAGGCGGTACATGCCGAGATCGTGAGGCAGCTGGGTGAAGCCAATGTCGAGGAGAATTTGATGAAGTTGCTGCTGCCAGAGTCGTGGTGCTTGCTTGATGCCGTAGAGGGATTTTCGGAGCTGACACACACGATCGTCGCCGTCGCTGTACGTGTGAGGTTGCTTGACGAAGATGAGGGCATCCATGGGTGCGTAGAGGAAGGTGTTTTTAACGTCAATCTGACGGAGGGGGAGATGCTTGGCGGCGGCGATGGCGAGGAGGATGCGGACGGAAGTGTGACGGCAAACAGGTGCGAAGGTCTGGTCGAAATCGACGCCATGGCGCTGATCAAAGCCCCGTACGACCCAGCGCGCTTTGAAGCGTCCGATGGTGCCGTCAGCAGCGGTTTTGACGCGGAAGACCCACTTGCCCGAGAAGACGCGTCTCCCCTTCAGTACTGCGCGGTCGGCGAGAACCCATGTGTCGCAGGCCTCGAGTGCGGCGACTTCGGGATCCATCGCGGCACGCCACTCCTTAGCATAGGGTCAAGTGAGGGCTTGGCGCGGGGTTTTGGGTTCAACGGCCATCGGCGGGTGAGAAACGGCAGTATGGAGGCCGAGGATGTGGAGGCCTGAGAGGCCTGGGCTATTCCGTTGATCGCTGGTGACTTCCACCACGTCATCGTCAGAGTTGTGGCCGCTGGAGGGGGTCGGGCTGAGGAGAGAGTCACGCGAGGAGTAGAGGACCGAGATGGGGATCCGTTGGGTCTTGTTCTGCGAGTGCTACTTCCGCTTAGTCGTCAGGTGCAACGAAGCAAAGCGGTGGTCGAACGTAATTCACGATGTTGTGTTCTCCTTTAGTGCGGTCAGCAGGGCGGCCGCACTTGAATTTGCGAACGGTGAGTTCTTCGTAGAAGATGACGTCGCGCGCCGCGACCACCCGTGAGGTATCGTGGTCGAGGATGTTCCAGGCGTTGTGTTCGAGGCTGATGCCAAGGTGTATGCCCCAGCGAGC